TCTTCTTGCTAATTCATATCTCAGTTAATTTAGCTCATTCTTCAACCAACCAGGCTATGCTCTTTTTCTGGTCTCTGGATACATCTCATACCCTACTTTGTAGGGTACATTTGTACCCTACTTTGACCAATCAAATCCTATCTACCTATAGCATGACTTTGCTAAATATAAAAACAAAAATGTACATAAATGTTACCCCCAATTAATCTATTCTTTGTGTCAGTTAAGTAATAACTAACATTTAGGGAACAATTTGTAGAAGCCAGTCACACTGCTACAGTCTTCACATGCAGTAACTAACTTAATCCCTTAAACCACCTTGTGAGTTAGCTACATTGACTTTCTTCACTGTTCAGAGGATGAAACTCAGGGTAAAATAGATTGAAGTAACTCTCAAAGAATATTCAGTAGCAAGTAGTAAAACTGGGATTGTGAGCTTTGAAATATTAGGTCTCAGTTCAGTTCAGTTCAGTCTCTCAGTCATGTCGGACTCCTTGTGACCCCATGAACCACAGCACACCAGGCCTCCCTGTCCATCACCAACTCCCGGAGTCCACCAAACCCATGTCTATCGAGTCGGTGATGCCATCCAACCGTCTCATCCTCTGTCATCCCCTTCTCCTCCTGCCCTCAATCTTTGCCAGCATCAGGGTCTTTTCAAATGAGTCAGCTCTTCGCATCATGTGGCCAAAGTATTGGACTTTCAGCTTCAACATCAGTCCTTCCAATGAACACCCAGGACTGATCTCCTTTAGGATGGACTGGTTGTATCTCCTTGCAGTCCAAGGGACTCTGAAGAGTCTTCTCCAACACCACAGTTCAAAAGCATCATTTCCTCAGTGTTCAGCTTTCTTTATAGTCCAACTCTCACATCCATACATGACCACTAGAAAAACCATAGCCTCGACTAAACAGACCTTTGTTGGCAAAGTAATGTCTCCGCTTTTTAACGTGCTGCCTAGGTTGGTCAGAACTTTCCTTCCAAGGAGTAAGCATCTTTTAATTTCATGGCTGTAGTCACCATCTGCAGTGATTTTGGAGCCCAGAAAAATAAAGTAGGCCACTGTTTCCACTGTTTCCCCATCTATTTGCCATGAAGTGATGGGACCAGGTACCATGATCTTAGTTTTCTGAATGTTGAGCTTTAAGCCAACTTTTTCACTCTCCTCTTTCACTTACATCAAGTGGCTCTATAGTTCTTCTTCAATTTCTGCCATAAGGGTGGTGTCATCTGCATATCTGAGGTTATTGATATTTCTCCCAGCAATCTTGATTCCAGCTTGTGCTTCTTCCAGCCCAGCATTTCTCATGATATACTCTGCATATAAGTTAAATAAGCAGAGTGACAATATATAGCCTTGATGTACTCCTTTTCCTATCTGGAACCAGTCTGTTGTTCCATGTCCAGTTCTAACTGTTGCTTCCTGACCTGCATACAGGTTTCTCAAGAGGCAGGTCAGGTGGTCTGGTATTCCCATCTCTTTCACAAAAACCACAATGAGGTACCATTACACGCCAGTCAGAATGGCTGCTATCCAAAAGTCTACAAGCAATAAATGCTGGAGAGGGTGTGGAGAAAAGGGAACCCTCTTACACTGTTTGTGGGAATGCAAACTAGTACAGCCACTATGGGGAACAGTGTGGAGATTCCTTAAAAAACTGGAAATAGAACTGCCATATGACCCAGCAATCCCACTCTTGGGCATACACACCAAGGAAACCAGATCTGAAAGAGACACGTGCACCCCAATGTTCATCGCAGCACTGTTTATAATAGCCAGGACATGGAAGCAACCTAGATGCCCAACAGCAGACGAATGGATAAAGAAGCTATGCTACATATATACAATGGAATATTACTAAGCCATTAAAAAGAATATATTTTAATCAGTTCTAATGAGATGGATGAAACTGGAAACCATTATTTCCACAGCTTATTGTGATCCACACAGGCAAAGGCTTTGGCATAGTCAATAAAGCAGAAATAGATGTTTTTCTGGAACTCTTTTGCTTTTTTGATGATCCAGTGGATGTTGGCAATTTGATCTCTGGTTCCTCTACCTTTTCTAAAGCCAGCTTGACCATCTGGAAGTTCACAGTTCATGTATTGCTGAAGCCTGGTTTGGAGAATTTTAAGCATTACTTTACTAGCGTGTGAGATGAGTGCAATTGTGCAGTAGTTTGAGCATTCTTTGGCATTGCCTTTCTTTGGGATTGTAATGAAAACTGACCTTTTCCAGTCCTGTGGCCACTGCTGAGTTTTCCAAATTTGTTGGCATATAGAGCACAGCACTTTCACAGCGTCTATATTAGGTCTACTGAATCACAAATGAGAGTTTTCCATCTTACTCAGTTCAGTTCAGTTGCTCTGTCATGTCCAACTCTTTGCGCCGACCCCATGGACGGCAGCACACCAGGCTTCCTGTCCATCACCAACTCCCAGAGCTTACTCAAACTCATGTGCATTGAGTCAGTGATGCCATTCAACCATTTCATCCTCTGTCGTCCCCTTCTCCTCCCACCTTCAATCTTTCCCAGCACCAGGGTCTTTTCCAATGAGTCAGTTCTTCACATCAGGTGGCCAATGTATTGGAGTTTCAGTTTCAGCATCAGCCCTTTCAGTGAGTATTCAGGACCAATTTCCTTTAGGATTGACTGGTTTGATCTCCTTGCTGTCAAAAGGACTCGCAAGAGTCTTCTCCAGCACCACAGTTAAAAAACACTAACTCTTTGGTGCTCAGCTTTCTTTGCAGTCCAACTCTCACATCCACATATGACTATGGGAAAAACTATAGCTTTGACTAGATGAACTTTTTGTTGGCTAAGTAATGTCTCTGCTTTTTAATATGCTGTCTAGGTTGGTCATAGCTTTTCTTCCAAGGAGCAAGTGTCTTTTAATTTCATGGCTGCAGTTACTATCTGCAGTGATTTTGGAGCCCCCCCGCCCCAAAATAAAGTCTCTCACTGTTTTCATTGCTTCCCCATCTATTTGACATGAAGTGATGGGACTGGATGCCATGATCTTAGTTTTCTGAATGTTGAGTTTTAAGCCAACTTTTTCACTCTCCTCTTTGACTTTCATTCAGAGGCTCTTTAGTTTTCTTTGCTTTCTGCCATAAGGGTGGTGTCATCTGCATATCTGAGGTTATTGATATTTCTCCCGGCAATCTTGATTCTACCTTGTGCTTCATCTAGCCTGGCATTTTGCCTGATGTACTCTGCATAGAAGTTAAATAGCAGAGTGACAGTATACAGCCTTGACGTATTCCTTTCCTGATTTAGAACCCGTCTGTTGTTCCATGTCCAGTTCTAACTGTTGCTTCTTGACCTGCATACAGGTTTCTCAGGAAGCAGGTAAGGTGGTCTAGGATTCCATCTTATTAAATTGTTGTAAAATTGTGTTGGAAATGACCATATGATACTTTATATAATAGTTCTCTTCTCTCTTGATTAATTAATATAATAAAAGGATAAGGTGGTGACAGATTACCCCCAATAATGTTTGAAACAGAGGCCAACTCTTTGTTAATTTGCTTTGGGAGAATTAACAATGATTTTTTAAAAGCCACTGGAATTACCTTTATGTTGATGACATATCCCTAGTTAGCAAAAAAGACGCTAAGCCTTTTGGACTGAATGGTGGCTAGTTGGGGATGAATGAACTATGGGTCTTCCATTGGTTTCAAGTCACTAAAGGGTAGTACCTACACTAGTACCAGGTAGCAGCACTCAGGGATAAGAAATCTTATTACCTAGTTCCCTACTGGACCCTACTCAAGGTTATTATAACTGAGAAGGGACTGTATTTGTCCATGTCATAATCATTCTACTATACTCTTAAGGACCCTGAGGTAGGACTGTGAAATAGCCACTTTTGTGTCCCCATCGCCATCATCAATTAGTATCAAACCTTCAATACAGTGATTTAATATGATATTTTGAATTAAACATGGACTTATAGAATTTGCTCCTCAATATATTGTCTTTACATCTTAATTTTCAATAGTCCTAAAATATAAAAGAAAAAGTATTTGAATTTTGGGGGAGTTAAATTTAGATTGAGGATTTTTTTAATGTTATTTCTTCTTTTCCTTTAGTAGTACTCTGTTTTAGAGAAACTAGGTATTTACTGCAGGAAGAATAAGACAGGGACACATTAGGGTCAGAACAGTAAAGAGTAATACCCACGCACTGCTTCTAGTGTTCCAACCATGTTCCAGTCTGTCTGAGGCCAAGAATTTGGTCCTGCTCCAGACATACTTTCTTAAAAGAACCAGGAACGCTTCCGCTTTACGATCTTGGCTGTTCAGTCTGATCTGCCCCAATGTCATCCCCATGTCATTGCTGCTGCTAAGTCACTTCAGTCGTGTCCTACTCTGTGCGACCCCATAGACGGCAGCCAACCAGGCTCCGCCGTCGCTGGGATTCTCCAGGCAAGAACATTGGAGTGGGTTGCCATTTCCTTCTCCGCATGTAATTGTTAGCCCTACCCAACTCTTTCAAGACTTTGCTCAAAATGTCACCTTTTTACTGAGGCCTCCTCTGAACCATCCTATTTAAAAGTTAATACCTTCCCGAGTCCTTTCCTCACTTCTGATTGTCCCACGTTAAATTGTTCAGGTTACCCTCCACAAGCCGTAAGTTTATTGATACTTCCCATTTGAACAGCCCTCCCGGTCGCTTCTCCTTTAAATCTTGTCGAGAGGGGGCGGAGCTAGGGCCCGGGCTCTTAGAAAGCTGGAGCGGAGTCTGTGGGCCACGCCCACTTTAGTCGCAAGCGCCGTCCGGAGACTCCAGGAGCCATTCTCCTCCTAATCCGCTCCGGAAACGCGACTGGGGAACGGAACTACCACGTGACGTTGACGTCATCGCCCCCGCGCCGGGTCGTCCTGACTTGGCTTCCGCGGGATCCTGGGGTGGCTTAGGTGCTTTATGTCAGGTTTTGTATAGTTCGCGGTCTTCTCTCCACAGACTCCCTTGGCCTCGCCTCCGACTTCCCGATGTACCACAACAGTAGCCAGAAGAGGCACTGGACTTTCGCCAGCGAGGAGCAGCTGGCGCGGTTGCGGGCCGACGCCAACCGCAAATTCAAATGCAAAGCGGTGGCGAACGGGAAGGTGAGGGCTCGGGCTGCCGCCCTTCGGCCTCGGGCTCTGTAAACTCTTGCCTATCTCCCCCTCCCCTAGGACTTAACCCACACCTCCCTCCCGCCTCCTCGGCGCAGAGTGCGTTTATCCATCTAATCAACAGCGAGCACCTTGCCAGGTACAGTGGTAAGGAGACGGACAAGGCCGTCCATCCCCTTAAGTCGAGTGGCGGACTGTATAGTCAGTAACAAGGCGAAGAAGCCACTTTGTAGGATGCTAATGTACCGGGGGAAGGTTTCTCCTAGTGGCTAGTGTGGAGAAGATGGGAAAGGACTTTCCCGGCGGACAGAGCCACAGGTGCAAAGAAGGAGTTCAGAAATCGCAGAGCTAGTCTCTGGAACGCTCTTGATCGTGTGTGGCGGAAGCAGAGCGTTTGAAAGGCTGGAGAACCCAGGCAGGGAACTTGTAAGCGGAAGTAAGTAGTTTGAACTCTGTGATGGAGAGATGGGAAACCTTAGAAAGATTCTAAATGGGAAATTAATCTTGTCAGATTCTGTTCTAGAAAGAGCTTTCTGGGAAGGAATTAATTGATTGATTGGATGGGGCAGGGCAGAGGAAGGGGGATGAGACACCGTTTGCACAAACCGATTGCCCACAGAAGGTTTGGACTACAATCTGTTAGCCACGCCCTTCCGGCTTTACTTTTACCTGTAACTGTCGTTTACTTCGTATCACTTTATTTTTGTGCTGTACAGACTAGTACTTACTGTGCTAAATTTTCAATGTTTGGCCACTGTTAGCTCATATAATCCTCAAAACTGCCCCGTGAGGTAGATGCTGTTGTTATCCTTGCATTACATCTGAGGACACTGAAGTACAGAGAGGTTGAATAACTTCTCAGGCTCTATTGCTGGTAAGCGGCAGAGCCAGGATTTGAGCCCGTGGTATCTGGTTTCAGCGGTCCTTCTGTGAATCGGAATGCCATGCTATCTCTACAAAATTAGCCCCACCTGTGTTCGTTTCCTAGGAAGGCCACAATACCATATTAGGTGACTTAACACAGCAGAGATTTATTGTTTGAGTTCTGGAGGCCAGAAGTGTGAGACCAAGGTGTTGGTGGAGTGGTGCTCTCTACAACTTCTCGACCCTTTCCTCTTCAGCTTCTGGTAACCCCAGGTGTTTTTCCGCTTGTGGCAGCCAACTCCAGCCTCTGGCTCCTTTACGGAGCGTTCTCCCTGTGTCTCTGTCTCTCTATATGTTCTTCTTACAAAGCTACCAGTCGTATTGGATTAGAAGCCTCCTGTACTTCAGTAGGACCTCATCTTCACTAATTGTATCTGCAAAGACCGTATTTTCTCACATTCTGAGGTACTGAGGTACCTCAACATACCTTTTTAGGCAGTTGTAATTAAACCAATAGCGGCACCAAATAGATATTTTTGTTGTAAAATTATAGTACTTATTAACCCTACAGTGAATTTTGTAGAAATTTTGTAGAGATACAGAAGAGGTAATATGTTAAGGGTAGAATTTTCCTTGAGATTCTTGATTTTTACTTCAACCTCTGTGACTCAGTAACCGACTGAGAAAGGGCTGTTGAAAGTTTTCCAGCCATTGACAGTTTCTTCCTTTTGATCTGTAAAAGTGACATCAAACTTGTGAACACATGCACACATTCCTCACGATTGCTTATTCCTTACTGAAGCAAATATGCAGCTGACATTCTGAAAAGTTATGCAATTATGGTACAGTTTAAGTTTATTGAATATTTTTTAAAACTTATTTTTGTGTAATATTAGCAATTCTATAAAGAGAAAATGAGGTACATTTCCCTTTGGTTAGAGATAAAAACTTAATTAAATCTGCACAGAGAAATATTATCTAGTTTATTAAACTTTTGTTCTAACTTTTGATCTAAAGGTTCTTCCAAATGACCCAGTCTTTCTTGAGCCTCATGAAGAAATAACGCTCTGCAAATATTATGAGAAAAGATTATTGGAATTCTGTTCGGTGTTTAAGCCAGCAATGCCAAGATCTGTTGTGGTAAGTTATAATAGTAATGAAGTATAAAGTCCTGTAACTAACTTACAAGATCTTATAAAGATTAATCTTATAAGCTAACTTATGACCTCTTAAAAATATTTAACTCAATTCTCTATCCACTTTACTCAAAAATGCACCTTAGTTATATATAATTTATGCATCAATATTTGTTTTGTCACATTTTTCAATAAGTGCATCCAATTATGAATTCTTACGTTGTATCTTACACAGTGTTTCAAAAATCATTTAATAGCAAAAGAATTTTGAGGTCTGCTGGATATGTCATGACATTCTCATTTTATAGGGAAAGAAAAAACTTACTTTCCCTCTGGGTTCTCACGTCTTTGTTTCGGATGTTTGTGTGTGTGCTTGTGTGCTTCTGTGTGTTTGTATGTGATAGGGTATTGTTGAGGAGAAACAGATAGTTAAAGCTTTTTGGCTATTTGGATTTGTATATGCTGTCTCTGTAATTGTTTCTGTCCTCACTCTTTTTTAATTGGAGTATATTTGATTACAGTGTTGTGTTTCAGCAAAGTGATTTAGTTATACATATATCTATTCTTTTTCACCTTCTTTTCCCATATAGGTTATCACAGAGTATTAACTAGAGTTCCCTCTGTTATACAGTAGGTCCTTGTTGTTTATCTATATACAGTAGTGTGTATACTTTAATCCTAACTTAATTTATCTCTCATCCCCCACCTTTCCCCTTTGTTATTCCCCTTTGTTAATCAAAAGTTTGTTTTCTAAGCCTATGAGTCTGTTTCTGTTTTGTAAATAAGTTCATTTGTATAATTTTTTAGATTCCACATAGAAGTGATATGATATTTTGTCTTTCTCTGACTTCACTTAGTATGTTAATCTGTAGGTCCATTCATGTTGCTACAAATGGAATATTTGTTTTTGTGTTTAGTTATGTGCAACTCTTTTGTGACCCTATGGACTATAGCCCATCAGGCTCCTCTGTCCATGGGATTTTCCAAGCAAGAATACTGGAGTGGGTTGCCATTTTCTTCTCCAGGGGATCTTTCTGACCCAGGAATTGAACCCATCTCTCTGATATCACTTATGTCTCTTATGTCTCCTGCATTGTCAGGCCGGTTCTTTACTACTGAGCCACGTGGCTATGGCTGAGTAATATTTCATTGTATGTGTGTACCACATATTCTTTTTAAATTCCTCCGTTGATGGACATTTAGATTGCTGTCATGTCTTAACTGTTGTAAATAGTGCTGCAATGAACATTGGGGTGTATGTATCTTTGAAGTATGGTTTTCTCCAGATATATGCCCAGGCGTGGGATTGTTGATCATACGATAGCGCTAGTGTTAGTTTGTAAGGGCATCCTTACTGTTCTCCATCGGGTCTGTACCATTTACATTCTCAGCTGCACTGTAGGAGGGTTCCCTCTTCTCCACACCCTCTCTAGTATGGATTGTTTGTAAAATTTTTGATGATGGCCATTCTGATGTGTGTGAAGTAATACCTCATTATAGTTTTGATTTTCACTTTTCTAGTAATTAGCCATGCAGAGCATCTCTTTTCATGTGCTTTTTGGCAATCTGTATGTGTTCTTAGGAGAAATGTCTATATTATATCTTCTGCACATTTTTTGATTTTTTTTTTTTAATTGAGCTACATGAGCTCTTTGTAAATTTTAGCGATTAATCCCTTGTTGGTTGCTTCATTTGCAGTTCTCCCATTTTGAGGGTTGTCTTTTTGTTTTGTTTATAATTTACTTTTCTGTGCAGAAACCTTTTAAGTTTAATTAGATCTCATTTGTTTATTTTCATTACCCTCGGGGGTGGATCCAAAAAGATATTATAGTGATTTATGCCAAAGAGTATTCTGCCTTTGTTTTCCTCTAAGAGTTTTATAATGTCTGGTCTCACAGTTAGGTCTTGAATCCATTTTGAGTTTATTTATGTGTGTGATGTTAGTGAGTGTTCTAATTTCATTCTTGTATATGTAGCTGTTCAGTTTTCCCAGCAGCACTTATTGAAGACTGTCTTTTTTTCATTATATATTCTTGCCTTCTTTGTTGAGATTAACCATAAGTGCATGGGTTTATTTCTCTGCTTTCTATCCTGTTCCATTGATATATGAGTCTGCTGGTTTGCCAGTGAAAAGTTGCTCGGTTGCGTCCAACTCTTTGTGACCCCATGTACTTTACAGTCCATGGAATTCTCCAGGCCAGAATACTAGAGTGGGTAGCCTTCCCTTCTCCAGGGGATCTTCCCAACCCAGGGATTGAACCCAGGCCTCCCACGTTGTGGAATTCTTTATCAGCTGAGCCAGGAGGGAAAGTGGATTCTTTACCAGCTGAGCCAGGAGGAAAGCCCAAGAATACTGGAGTGGAAAGCCTATCCCTTCTCCAGCGGATCTTTCCAACCCAGGAATCAAACCGAGGTCTCCTGCATTGCAGGCAGATTCTAATAGTTTGCCAGTATCATACTATATTAATTATTGTATCTTAATAGTATAGTCATAAGTCAGGGAGCCTTATTCCTCCAGCTCTGTTTTTCTTTCTCAAGATTGGTGTGGCTGTTCGGGGTCTTTTGTATTTCCATACAGATTTTAAGATTTTTTTAGTTTTAGATGTACAAAAACTGGCATTGGTAATTTGATAGGGATTGCATTGACTCTGTAAATTACCTTGGGTAATATAGTTATTTTGACAGTGTTGATTCTTTCAATCAGGAATATGGTATATCTTTCCATCTGTTTTTGTCATCTTTGATTTCTTTCATCAGAGTATTACAGTTTTTAGAGTACAGGTCTTCTGCCTCCTCAGGTGGATTTATTCATAGGTATTTTATTCTTTGTGATGTGGTCAAAAATGGAATTGTTTCCTTAATATTTGTTTCTGATCTTTATTTGTATATAGAAATGCAAGAGATTTCTGTGTATTAATTTTATATCCTGCAACTGTACAGAATTCACTGATGAGCTCTGGTAGTTTTATGGTAACATCTTTAGGATTTTCAATGTTTAGTATAATGTCATCTGCCAACAGTGACAGTTTTTTTTTTTTTTCCTAATTTGGATTCCTTTTGCTTCTTTTTCCTCTCTGATTGCTATGGCTAGGACTTCCAAAACTATACTGAGTAAGAATGTTGAGAGTGGACATCCTTGTCTTGTTTCTGATGACAGAGGGAATGCTTTCAGCTTTTCACTATTGAGCATGATGTTGCTGTGGGTTTGTTATATATGGCCTTGACTATGTTGAGGTAGGTTCTCTTTATGCACTTTCTGGAAAGTATTAATCATAAATTGATGTTGGATTTTGTCAGGTTTTTTCTGTGTCTATTGAGATGATCATATAGATTTTATTCTTCACTTTGCCATTTCCTTCTCCAGGGGATCTTCCCAACCTAGGGATCAAACCCAGGTCTCCCACATTGCAGGCAGACACTTTAACCTCTGAGCCACCAGGGAAGCCCATGTTAATGTGGTACATCACTCTAATTAATTTGTAGATATTGAAAAATACTTGTAGCCTAAGAAGAATGCCTCTTGATCATGGTGTATGATCATCTGGCTCTGCTCAGTCTTCATTGCTGCACGGGCTTTTCTCTCGTTGTTACCATTGCGGTGGCACCCCATGTTGCAGAGCACCGGCCTTAGGGCTTGTGGGCTTCAGTAGTTGTGACACATGAGCTCAGTAGTTGTGGATCCTGGACTCTAGAGCACATGGGTCTTCTCGGACCAGGGATTGAGCCTGCGTCTCCTGCATTCCTAGGGAGATTCTCCACCACGGAGCCACCAAGGAAGCCCTTGTGGATGACCCTTTTAATGTTTTGTTCAATTTAGTTTGCTAGTATTTTGTGGAGGACTTTTGCATCTATGTTCATGAATGATCCTAGTTTGTAATTTTTTTTTTTTTCCTAATCTGTAATTTTCTTTTGTGTTATCAGTCTGGTTTTGGCATCTGGGTGATGGTGGCTTCATAGAATGAGTTTGGGAATGTTTCTCCCTCTGCAGTTTTTGGAAGGGTTTCAGAAGGATGGGTGTTAAATAGTCTCTAAACTATTCTCTTTATCAGTAGTCTCCCACCTTTTTGGCACCAGGGATTGTTTTTGTGGAAGACAGTTTTTCAGTGGACCTGGAGTTCCACCTCAGATCATCAGGCATTGGATCCCAGAGGTTGGGGACCCCTGCTTTAAATGTTTGATTGCATTAGATGCAATGACTAGAAGTCATCTAGTCCTGGACTTTTATAACTGCAATAGTTTTTATTTTTTAACTGAAATAGTTTCTATTTCAGTGCTTAGAATTCTGTCCATATTTTCCATTTCTTCCTGGTTCAGCTTTGGGAGATTTGCATTTCAAAGAATTTGTCCATTTCTTCTAGGTTTTTCATTTTATTGGCATATAGTTGCCTGTACAAGTCTCTTGTGATCCTTGGTATTTCCGTGGCATCCATTGTAACTTCTCCTTTTTCATTTATTTGAGCCCTCTCCTATTTTTCTTGATGGTGGGTTTGGCTAAAGGTTTGTCAATTTTGCTTATCTTTTCCAAGAACTAGCTTTTAGTTTCATTGGTATTTTTTTATTATTTTCTTCATGTCTAATTTCATTTATTTCTGCCCTGATCTTTGTGATTTCCTTCTTTTTGCTAACTTTGGGTTTTATTTGTTCTTCTTTCTCTAGTTGCTTTAAGAGTAAGCTTAGGTTGTTTGAGATTTTTCTTATTTCCTGAGGTAAAACTGTATTTCTGTAAACCTCCCTTGTAGAACTGCTTTTACTGCATCCTAAAGATTTTGGATTGCCCTGCTTTGGTTTTCATTTGTTCCTAGGAATTAGATTTCCTCTTTGATTTCCTCAGCGGTCCATTTGTTGTTTAGTAGCGTATTTTTAGCCTCCAGGTGTTTGTGTTTTTTACAGTTTTTTCTTGTGGTTGATTTCTAATGTCATAGCATTGTGGTTGGAAAAGATGCTTACTGTGATTTCAGTTTTTTAAAGTTTGTCAAGGGTTGCTTTATGGCCTACATGATCTGTCCAAGTGTACCCTGTGCACTTGAATGTTTATTCTGCTGCTTTCAGATGAAATAGTCAATAAATTTAAATTAAACCCATCTGGCTTAATGTGTCATTTAAAGCCTGAGTTTCCTTATTGGTTTTGTCTGAATGATCTGTCTGTTGATGTAAGTAGGGTGTTTAGTTCAGTTCAGTCGCTCAGTCGTGTCCGACTCTTTGCGACCCCATGAACCACAGCACGCCAGGCCTCCCTGTCCATCACCAACTCCCGGAGTTCATCCAAACTCACGTCCACTGAGTCGGTGATGCCATCCAACCATCTTATTCTCTGTCGTCCCCTTCTTCTCCTACCCTCAGTCTTTCCCAGCATCAGGGTCTTTTCAAATGAGTCAGCTCTTCGCATCAGGTGGCCAGAGTATTGGAGTTTCAGCTTCAACGTCAGTCCTTCAATCAGTGTTCAGTGAACACCCAGGACTGATCTCCTTTAGGATGGACTAGGTGGATCTCCTTGCAGTCCAAGGGACTTTCAAGAGTCTTCTCCAGCACCACAGTTCAAAAACATAAATTCTTCGGTGCTCAGCTTTCTTTACATTCCAACTCTCACATCCATACATGACTCCTGGAAAAACCATAGCCTTGACTAGATGGACCTTTGTTGACAAAGTAATGTCTCTGCTTTTTAATATTCTGTCTAGGGTGTTTAAGTTCCCCACTATTACTGTGTTACTGTCCTTTTCTCCTTTTTTGGTTGTTAGCATTTGCCTTATGTATTGAGGAGCTCCTATGCAGGATGCAAATAAATGTATTTACAGTTGTTGTATCTTTGTGGATTGATCATCATGTAGTGTCCTTTTTGAATCTGTTGCAACAGTCTTTATTTTAGTCTGTTTTGTCTGATATGAGTCTCAGTACTCTAGCTTTCTTGATTGCCATTTTCGTGGACTCTTTTTTCATTCCCTCATTTTCAGTTTGTATGTGTCCCTAGATCTGAAGTGGGTCTCTTGTAGACAGTACATATGTGGGTCTTATTTCAATCGCTCTATGTCTTTTGGTTGGGGCATTTAATCCATTTACGTTTAAGGTAATTATCAATGTGTATGTTCTTATTTTCGTTTTGTTCATTGTTATTTGTTTGGATTCCTTTTTCTTGTGTGTGTGTGTGTGTGTGTGTGTATAGTAGATTTTGGTTTGCAGTTACCGTGAGGATTTGATTTATATATATGTATATATAGTTGCTTTTGTCTCTAAGTCCTGTCCGACTCTTGTGACCCCATGGACTATGGCCTGCCAGGCTCTTACCCGTGAGATTTCCCCTGGCAAGAATACTGGAGTGAGTTTCCGTTCCCTTCCCTAAGGAATCTTCCTGATCCAGAGATTGAACCAGTGTCTCCTGCATTGGCAGGTGGGTTCTTCACCACTGAGCCACCTTGGAAGCCTGTGTGTGTGTGTGTGTGTGTGTGTAAATGTACACAAGATTGTTTAAAGTTTCAGGCCTCTTAGTTTTGAATGCATTTTCAGTATCCTGCATTTGTACTCTCCTCACAATTGCTACTGTGTGTGTGGATGATTTCCTGCCTTTACTGTATATATGCCTTTGCTGGTATATAAAAGCTTTCCCATTTGTAGTTTTCTTGTTTCTAGTTGTGGCAGTTTCTTTTCCACCTAGAGAAGTTCCTTTGGCATCTGTTATAAAACTGGTTTGGTGGTGCTAAATTCTCTTAGCTTTTGGTTATCTATAAAGCTTTTGATTTCTCTGTTAAATTCTGAATGAGAGCCTTGTTGGGTAGAGTTCTAATGTATTTTTTATTTGAGTTAAGGTATTGGTTATCTCTGTTGGTCCTTTATATTTCCTCACTCTTTGTTAAACATTTCTTTCATCTTCTTAATCTGTGCCTTTTCTTTTTCTGAGTTCTTGGATCATCTATCTCTACCATCCTTAGTCTGAATTCTTACAGGTAGATTGTGTGTCTTCACTTCACTTATTCTACTGGGGTATTATTTTGTTTTCCCATCTAGATATGTGTGTTCTTGTTGATAGAAAATAAACTGAAATTTAGAAGCTGCAAGATTAAAAAAGGGATGCATATAAATGATTTTCTCCATATTATCTCACAAATTTGTTGTGAATATCAAATATGAAAGTCTTAAGTGAAAGTAGATCATACATTTTAAAGTTAAACTGAGTGAATAATCTATGACTCACAAAAGAATAAGCTTCTAGTAAATAATCTCCATTTTTAAAGTTGATAAATGAAGTATGTTGAAAATATAGTCCAAAAGTATTCATAGTATTTTCTTTTTTTAATCAGACTTTATCTTGAGATCAGATACATGTAAAATTTTAGATGTGCTTCCTTTCCATCTCCAGATTTGATCCTAGTCTTTTCTAATAAGAAAACTATAACATGAGGCAGTAGGTTTAAGTGATCTTTTCAGGTGAAAAAACTGAATCCTTGAATAAACTTCTTTGTGGAATTTGCCTTTATATAACTTATTTTTTGTAACTGATAGTTTTGATGTTTGTCTCATGTAAAATGACCAAACTTCAGAAGTACTTAAATATATTTTTTCCATCCTAAAATAGATATTTATTTCATTGGTTCTAGCCAAATGAAATAGTGGTTAAAAGTACAGGTAGACCTTGGTTGAAAACATCCCTGTTCCTTGTTAGATGTGTGACCTTGAGCAAGTCAGTTAACCTCATTGATATCAGTTTCTTTCTCTGTAGAGATAGCAACACTTCACCACATTGTTATAAGAATTAAAATAAGGTGATAGTTTTGTATTTGGCACAAAGTGTGGCACATGGGATGCAGTCAGTAAATGGTAGGTGCCGCTTCTATTGTTTGGTTTGGCAGCAGCGATCACGGTTAGATCACAGATCTAGAGTGGATTTAAAAAGAAGACTCATTGCTCTAACAATGTTATTCTATCAATATTTTATAAGATTGACTGGTTAAGCTTTGATCATTTGTATAAGTTATACAAGTATATGTGTATACTTAGTCGCTCAGTCATTTCCAGCTCTTTGTGACTCTGTGGACTGTAGCCTGCCAGGCTCCTCTGTCCACGGGGCTTCTCCAGGCAAGAGTACTGGAGGGGGGTGGCCATGCCTTCCTCCAGGGGATCTTCCCGACCCAGGGAAGAAACCCAGGTTTCCCGCATTGCAGGCGGATTCTTCACCATCTGAGCCTCCAGGGAAGCCCATGAATACTGGAGTGGGGAGCCTGTTGTTGTATAAAACCACCATACAGTTTTTAATTGAAGTCAGTGACCACAAGAATGCTGAGCAAGAGTAGGTGGGGAAGGACAACAGAAGGTCTTTTGGCTGTGGCTTTTCTGTAGTAATTTATCACAATTACAATTTATCACAATTACAATCACAATTTATTTTGAGTTAAGAAAAAATAAGTTTTGGTATTTTTTACCAGTGACTTTTTTAAAGGAATATTTGCATAAATAAGTGTTTTTTCTTTTAATACAGAACAACTTGTATGTGTGAACAGGTTCTGATAACATGTGTATTTTTAATCTTAGGGTACAGCTTGTATGTATTTCAAGCGCTTTTATCTTAACAACTCAGTAATGGAATATCACCCCCGGATAATAATGTAAGTATAATTTATTGATTTTCACTTAAGAATACTTTTTTATTACGCGACCATGTATGTGTGTGAAAATGACTTCCTAATAAAGGGTAATTTATGCTTGTATTCTGTTCTGAACTTAAGATTGTTCCCTCTAATTCTGATGACATCTGTATTGGCATTTGTCCAAATTCACATTCTGTTTCTCTCAAATTAGCTACCCTAATATCTTTCTGTTAGTGGAACCTTTCTTCACTCAGTTGCTCTGAGAATCATTTATGGTAGCTCCTCTTTCTCTACAAATTTACAAGTCCTATAGTTCCATATTCTTTTCACTTGAACACAGATCTGTTGTTTCTGGTCTCTGCTAAGCACTATGCTTATCATTAAAAATAAAGATGAAATTAGTATGAGACATAGCAAAGAACTTGCTGTCAATCATACTGTTCCTGTATATTTCTTTTTTGTCCCCATTTCTACCAGTCTTGGTCAGGCCCTTGGTACGTCCCATATTGGTTTTTGTGGTAATCTTTCTCACTCTTAAAATTTACGTAGCAGCCATGAGAGTTTGATAGGTTTGTTCTTGAGGTAATAACCCTCTACTTAAACGCCATTAGAGACGTCCACTGATGGCTTGTCATAATGTTTCTCTGACGTAACTTTCTTCCCAGGCCCATATGTACTTATGTATGTGCTTTTTTTTCCCCTTTCCATTTGTTTTTCATGCTGCTGAGTTCTCTTATTCCTATTATTTTGTTTTCCCAGATATTTAGGCTAAATTGCCATTAAGTTAATGATTGAATGCTGTGTCACTATTATACAGTTCAACCTAGAACTTCAGTCACCTTATGAATAAAAAGATTGTAAACAGGAAACTTTTTTTTTTAACCAATTTCCAAAGATGTTTAGTATAGTCATTTGTGAATACTAGGCAGTTTAAGAACATACTTTTAGAAATATTTTGTTATTTTATACATATTCCTCCCCTTATTTTTTCCTCTAGGCTCACTTGTGCATTTTTGGCTTGCAAAGTAGATGAATTCAATGTATCTAGTCCCCAGTTTGTTGGAAATCTGCGGGAGAGCCCTCTTGGACAAGAGAAAGCACTCGAACAGATTCTGGAATATGAACTGCTTCTTATACAGCAACTTAATTTCCACCTTATTGTCCACAATCCTTATAGACCCTTTGAGGGCTTTCTCATTGATTTAAAGGTAATCTTGCTGATGTAAAGTAAAGTGGTAGAGTGAACTCCTTTGCTATTGTTAAAAGAATCAAAATTTTGCTATAATTTATAATGATCCTAATGGGCTTAACTAAAATATGAGTTTGGCCTGGACTCCTAGGGCAGTAGTTCTCCAACTTCAGTGCGCTTTAGTGCTTCAGAATCACCTGGAGGGCTTATTAACTGAAATTGTCAGACTGGTCCCAGAGCTGCTGATTCAGTAGATTTGCAAATACCAGCCCAGGGACCATAATGAAGACCATTGTGTCTTTATAGTAACACTTTTAAAGACTTAACTCTTCTAACTCAAGAATGCTGTCTTAGATACAAAAGACTTAATCTTAAACTAGAAGATTGCCAAGTGACTTCTATTTTAGGACCTTGTGAACTAAAATCAATATGTAAGCATCAAAAGTAACAGTAAATAAAATGTTCTGTCAGAACACTAACAAAAGCAACTAAAGTTGTTTTGTTTTGGTCCTGAAGAAGGGCTTGAATGGTGTGAGTTAAGTAAATAGAAGTCAGAAACTGGTTCACTTATCTTGAGTGGCACAATTTGGGTGCTTTCTGTATGCCAGACATGGTGCTTAAGGGTTAGTCAGGAACTAGACAGGAACAGCCTCAACTCGATAGGCCTTATAGTCTCATGAGAAAGACAGTATCATATATTCAGTGTGCTAAGTGTTAACAGAAGGGGAAACACAGGGTGCTTTAGAAGGAGATGGCAGATGAGAGGAAGAGGAGACAGTTCTGAGAAAGTGCACGAGGTGACATTTGAAGAAGAGTAGGGACTGGGTGGTGGAAGAGCATCCTGCTCAGAGACTTCTTTGCCCTAAAGAACCTAAACAGAACTGAGAGAGAGATGGGGGTGTCTGCCTGAGTGGAAGGCAGTCTAGACTGTGGAAGTAACATTACAGATTTTGAATAGAGTGACAGGAAGCCAGTGAAGGGTTCAAGCCTGAAGAGTGGCATGATTAGGTTTGCAGCTTTAAAAAACATGTTGGCAAGCTCATGTATCAGTCTGCACCAGGTGTTTATTGCACATCTGTATTATATGTCAGGCATAATGAGGAGAATGTATTTGAATGGATGGAGGGATCCCAGTAACAGTAGTTCAGACAGAAGATGGTTGGCTTGACTCACGTGGTGACACTGGGTACAGAGAGAGCTTCTTGGGCTTGGGAGACAGGCCGAGTTGGTAGAGCTTGAAGAATGATTGCATATAGAGTGAAGACAGTGGGAGAGTCCCCAGTTTTCCGGCCTGAGCATATAGGTAGATGGTGGTACAGTTATGGTACAGGCAGATTGTGTCTGATACAGGTAGATGGTTGTTAGATGTGTCTGGAGGTCAGAAGATGGGTAGGCAGGAGGTAGAGATTTGGGCATGATTGCCCCAGGAAGATTTCAAGTGGATTGGTCGTAAGGACTATTTAAAGGGTAGCTAGAGAAAAATAAGAAGACCGAAGAATATCCAGAGAGGTGGGACTTTTGGAGAAGTAGAATGCTTTTATAATATGATCAGGGACAGCTCTCCAAACCTGCTCAGAATTCAGGCAGAGTAAAAGTTGACATTTGCTGGAGTTAGTGCCAAAGGTGATTTGTGATCTTGGTAAAATTAGTCTTTGTGGAGTGTGGAAGAAGAAAGCAGATTGGAGCTGGTTGGGGAATAAATCGAAGGTGAGAAAATATATCCATATCTTGGATTAAATTGCTTGTCTTTGAAGTGGAGAAAGAAGGTGGGATGATTGAGAAGATGGGGGAACTGCTAGAAGAAAGGAACAGTTTTTTGTTGTGTTTTGTGTAAGAAACTGATGCAGAGAGCTAGTAAAACTTAACTGAATATGTGTAGCTTGAGTTTTCCTTTGAAGTGTGGTAAAAGGGCCTGACACGGGATTTTGAAGCAAGGTAGAAGAATTGGCTGTCTCTCTTAATGGAGGAAAAGAGGAAAACATAGGGGAGGATAATGTTATGCCTGGGGATCTGACTGTAGCAGGAAATACTGTCTTTGTTATCAGCAAAGTTCATTTTCTGAGAGCAGTGAAGTTTCTGAGAATTATCAAAGACATTGAGTCAGGTGGAAAGTGTTTAATCACCAAAAACGGGGAGAACACATTTTCAATGGAATATCATCATCATAGCTAGGCAGTGTTAAGAGCCGTTTTGAGGCCAGTGAACTTGAATTTATATGAATATTTCTGGACCTCTTGGTTGTATTGTTTTCTTTAGCAGCACCCAGAAATCTGGGTACAGTTGAAAAGAAGGTTGGTTGAGTTTGACTGCTACTGACGTTTTGCTGGAAATATGTTGGCAGCGTACTAGGGCAGGGAATTCAAGAGGAGTGTTAGAACCAGTGGACACTGGTGAGCAGGAGCAAGTAGAGGGAGGAGGAACCAGAGGCTCTGAGGAGGAAGTCAGAGAGCAACTGTGAAGCACTGGGTCCTGGGAAAGGGAGCGCTGTGGTCGGAGTAGAATGTTGGGTTTGCAATATCAGGGCAGGCATTCGGGGATAATGACAAGACCTAGGTCTGACTGCACAACTGACTCTGGCTGTCCTGTTTCAGAGTATAAGATTTCTGACTGCTTTGGGACTTGAATGTGGATATCTGAAATATATCTGAGGGTTTAAGATTAGGGTTCATTAGGTAGAAATGGTTAGAAAATAGGGGATCATCAGGTGGCTCAGTGGTAAAGAATCTGCCTGCCGGTGCAGGAGAGGCAGGAGACACAGGTTCGATCCCTGGGTCGGGGAGATCCCCTCAAGGAGGAAGTGGCAACCCATTCTAGTGTTCTTGCCTGGGAAAGTCCACGGACAGAGTAGCCTGGCAGGCTGCAGTTCATGGAGTGGCAGAGAGCTGGACGTGACTGATGGAGCATTTATAAGGGATGGTTCATATATCTTAGGCATATACTAAAAATAATTCTATAATCAAACCAAGATTCATTTCCATTTACTTCCAAAAAGTAAACTCCTGGTAGAAAGAATTTCAAATCAAAATGAAGTGGTGCTTTGGTTTCTAAATGTGTCTTACAGGAGCTACACATATGAAAGTGTTCCGTGTTAAGCACTTTCTGGTTTATATAAATATTTTTGTCTTGTTCTTACTCCATTAAACCCTCAGCAGTGATAACATTTGCAAACTCTCTTTCTAGACTCGCTATCCCCTGTTGGAGAATCCAGAGATTTTGAGGAAAACAGCTGATGACTTTCTTAATAGAGTTGCATTGACGGATGCTCACCTTTTATACACACCTTCCCAGATTGCTCTGACTGCCATTTTATCGAGTGCATCCAGAGCAGGAATTACTATGGAAAGGTATTGTTTTGTGTTCTAACTTAGATCAGACTCAGTCCCTCAGTTTCTTCCTTGCTGGAGTCCCAAGTTTGTACGTAAGGCTCACTTTGTGACTGCAGTCTTCCATGTCCCTATGTTTGAGCATTGGTGAGGACAACTGAGGGAATACTTGGAATCACCTTTTAAGGAAATATCTAAAAATGGAGTAAGATTTTTGAGCTAAAATCCATTTATGATCAAAGTAGAATTAAATCGACTGTTTTTATCAAAAGATTGATAACAGCTATCAGTATATGGCAAATTTAGAAATTTTGTGAACTGGTAAGCAGTGTGAGTGCAACAAATACATCTGCCTTGTTTTATCATTAATCTCCATGTATGGCACATGAAATTCAGTAAAGCCTTGTTGAGGGAGTAATGCTTTAGAGAACATCCAAATGAGTTTCAGTGAGCTGTAGACTGAATTAGCGGATACGTAAGCACACTGAGAGCTGTGTGCTGTGATGAGCACTTTACATGAATTAAACTCACGTGATTCTTACAGTGATATCTTGTGCAGAAGTTAATTAGATACTTATTGTATTCACTTATAATTAACTCAAGCCCAGGCAAGTAGTAAGTTAGACTTTAAACTTTCTCGTTTAATTTCTTTATACCTTTGAACTTCTGCTTGATTCATTCCTAAAATAGCTGAGGAAGATGATAAAACTTTCTGAATTTAAACTTTTCTACATGTTTGTAATCCCTTGTCTGTGATTTCAAAATCCATTGATATGGTGGCAGGAAACATGACCAGATGTGATTTAGTCTTTATTCAACTGAATGGGAATATTTATAAGTTTCCTTGCATAGCTATTAATATAACTGATTACAGGATACAGCCCCAGAGACACTGGGGCAGTGTATATATACCATGAAATGTAAAATATTTCATGGTATATACACCATGTTAGCTTTCTAATAGAGACATGAATAATTCTGATTTTCAAAATAAATCCAAGATAAGGGATTGTGGGTTTATATTTTGTTTAATTTATGGTATGCCTCTTCTCTATAAACAGAAGTCATCGATTGTATATTAATATATGCATTTAATCCCAAAGCAATCTTATACCTTCATTTATTTACTAAGCAAACCTTTGTGGAAGTCTTTCCTCCCCCCACATTGCCTTCTATATATCATGCAGTCTACTATACTGTAGAAATTTAGCACTGAACAAGCTATCCTTGCTCTAGTTAGGAAGGATGGCCATACAAATTGATACTATGGATTTTGCAAGTGTGGAGGTTCCGTAGGGTAAGGGAAGAAAGTCATTTCCACAATTCAGATAACCAGTTGTTTACTTAATCTGTTTAAGCATTGTATCTTATGCAGTTTATATGCTTATTTTTCAGTGGTAAGATTTTTCTTACATCAATAGAGAAGGATGAAAGATCCTAAGGTCTAAATTTGAGTTTATTTCATCTTAGAAATTTAGTTATAATTTCAGATAGGCAGGTGGAAGTGAAATTATAGTACCTTGAACATTGAAAGTGTTAGTTGCTCAGTCTTGTCCAACTCTTTGGAATCCCTTGGACTGTAGCCCACCACGCTCCTCTGTCCATGGAATTCTCCAGGCAAGAATACTAGAGTGGGTAGCCATTCCCTTCTCCCGGAGATCTTCCCAATCCAGGGATCGAACCCCAGTCTCCTGCATTGCAGGCAGATTCTCTACCATCTGAGCCACCAGGGGAGCCCATAGTACCTTGGGCTCACTACAAATTAAATACACTTTTGTTGCATTCCCAGGGACTATAGACATTTGGGCATTTTTTCCTTTGAGAAAATGCTTTCAAATCATTTTTAACTTCTGACTTCCTTTCCAACTTTTGGGAACATGGAAATTTCTTTTATGTTGATTACTGATTTCACAAGGGGGAAGCCTTTGTGCTGTTGTTATATTCTGAATGATGTTTTAAGATAATTACTTATGGAATATTCTGTTGTTGGTTTGGGGTTTCTTCTTTTTCATTGAATTTAAAGCTTTACTTCACATCTCCTAGTTTGACTTTTTAGGTAATGAAGAGAAACAAAAAAAGATGGCAGAATTGTGAAAGGAAAAGGAAAAAACTAATTGTTATTTTGAATTACTGAAAACTAGAAATGTATTAGCTGTTAAGGGAGTTACTGATTTCCATATTTAAAATGGGTTCCCACACTGGATGAAGACAATATAATAGCAAAAGTAGTTATCAAAATTTTGTAATATAAATAATTTTGATAGCTTAAAAGACATATAGCAACAAAATTTCTTTAAAAATTGTCCTAAATTTTGTAACTTTATTTCACCTAAGAGAAAAATTAACAATTTTTATTACATTCATGTTTGAAAGATTATTCTCAAAGATTACTTTGAGAATTTGTTCACTTGGGCTGTTATTAAATATAGATCAGGTTCAAGTATATAAAACCTCAGAGTGGCTAAAACTATAAATATAGAAATACTATCACTGGTTCCAGGAAAACAGTTAACTGGGCTGTAAGTCCATTTAAGGAATACTATGGGGTTGGCCAAAAGGTTCATTCGGTCTTTTCATAAGATGTCCCAAACAAACCTTTTGGCCAACCCAATATTACACCTTTGATTTGGACTTGATGCAGAAAAGATATAATAGATTTGTAAAGCATGGGGTGACATTCTTACTGGTTATCAGGAATACCTGTTTGTCTCAAGAGGAGCAATTATAGTTCACGTGGACTTGACAACAAGAGGGGAGAGAATCCTCACCAGAGCCACGCTCCAGTTCTGCTACTCCCCGACCTTATCCATGACCTGTCTGTCCCTGTGACTCAGATTCCTCACTTGTAAAGTGAAGTTCGACTGATAGGGTTTACATCACAAGTACTATTGAGTATTGCTACTACTATTTTCATATCATTTTCTCTCTGAACATATTATGGAAGTTAAATAAATTAACTTGAATAGTAAGCATTTTTAACCTAGTACAAGTTGTAGTAGACTCTTAAGACTGTAAGAGAGATTATAGTTTTAGTAAAGTTCCAAATATTGTTATTTAACAGTTTTCAAGTAAATTTATTAAAAAGTTCACCTTGATGAAGAAAAGAACATGAAGAAAAATAATTTATGATGTCATATTTTCTCAAGATGTGTGCAATAGATATAACACATTTTTTTCCCTCTTTTTTCCAGTTATTTATCAGAAAGTCTTATGCTCAAGGAGAACAGAACTTCCCTGTCACAATTACTAGATATAATGAAAAGTAAGTAAAACAGAACGCTTTATAAAATGTTCTATCACAGAGCTACTTTGTAAATAAATAACTTACTGGTATTTTAACTTGAGATTACAAGTTATTGTTTAGATTTACTTATTGTATCATGAAGGTGAAGAACAAATAGAAGGTACATGAAGTAGTTTTTACACATAATTTTTTAGGAAAGTGAAAAATATTAATGAGATTCACAAAGGGTTGAGATTCAAAACAAGGTCCTTTTAAAGTGTACGCAAATATGATATGAGCACTAAAAAAGGTCTGAGGGAACTAAAGGCTAATTAAATTTGAAATTTCTATTTTGTAGATAAATTAGCTTTAATTAGTTACTGTGTGTCATTTGCTGGTCACGTCCTTACCTGATATTACAAAAGCCATGATTCTTAACGGGGTGTGTTTTCTTTTTTCCCCATCTATGAACATTCTTTGTTGTTACAGCTTTGGGGTGGGGGTGTTTGTGGCTGCTACCGTCACGTAGGATGTGGAGGCACGGGTGCTGCTTTATTTTATGATTCACAGCACAGCCCCTTGGTAGGCTGAGGAATGGCTCCCCGAAGACAGCCGTGTCAGAATCTCTGGAAACTGGTTGTTGTTGCTTTATACGGCAAAACAAAAAATGTGCTTGCAGATGTGATCAAGGACGTTATCTTGGATTATCCAGATGGAGCCTAAATGTGATCACAAGTCTCCCTGTTAGAGGAAGGCAGAGGAGGTGTGACAGAGAAGGCAGTGTAAAGACAGAATAGACAGAATTGAAGAGGCCAGCCCTGAACAGCACAGTCATGTAGCCGTCGGCTGAGGAATGCTGCCGGCTGGCGGAGGCGGGAACAGGAGCCCCGGAGAGAGCGCAGCCCTGCTGGTGTTTGTTCTGACCCAGTGAAACTGATTTCAGACTCTTGAGCTTCAGAACTGTCAGGGAATCCATCCAGTGGTTTTACTAAGTTTGTGGTAATTTTTAATAGCAGCTTTAGGAAACTAACACAGCACTTCATGACAAAGAATCATCTAGCCCAAACTGCTGTCGATACTATCGATGCTGAGAAACACTGTCTCGAGGGTTTTTTTTTTTTTTTCTTTTCACTGTTTAAAAACATAGTTGGGTTAGTTTCAGGTGTATGCCAGAGTGATTCAGTTATATGTGTGTGTGTGTGTGTGTGTATGTGCTTTTTCAGGTTCTTTTCCATTATAGGAGTGTGTCTGTGTGTGTTCTTTCCATTATAGGTTATCAGAAGATCCTGAATTTAGTTCCCTTAGCTGTACGGTAGGCTGAGTGGAGTTAGAGCCTCCCCTGAACTCACTGGCTAGGGTAGCCAGTCCTCCGTTTTCATCCCTGCCCGTGTCACACTGCATGCTCAGGGCTGCTGGGCTGTTCTTTAGGGTTAAAAATCAGCGTGTTTCTAAACCATTTGTGCCAGTTGTCCTTGTTAATAAAATCTGTAATTTAAATACTGAAATATGAGATTGCAGATCTTGATCTTGGATGACGGAACACTTAACATCTTTTATGTTTCGAAAGTCAAGGTCCTTCAGACTATCTGAGAAAACTGAATTTGTGATTTAAGAATCATAAAACTGTAGGTTTTCAGTTTTACCACTAGAGGGTTCACTTCCAAAGCTAACTGTGATTTGGCCAGACACTAGGATCAGGGAATTTAGTAGGTAGGAGAGATCTTAAAGGTAACACTGTGCTGTGTGTGTATGTGACAGTAATTCTCTCAGTAGCTTTTACTCCACTCGTTTTACAATAATAATAGCTCTTGTTAACACTCGGAGCTTTAATGATATTAAGGTATCTTATTCATAAGTTTTCACACAAAGATACTGTCCTAAGGGTGTTGTCACAAGTATTAATTTAGTTGAAAACACTGCTTTATTTGCATTATGAAATAAGTCAGTCATTTGGAGTACATGGCTGACTAACAACAAGCCCTGGATCTCTCATTCCCCTAATAAATCTTGCGGTTAATGGTCTTTGGTTTATTGTAGTTGAATTAAATATAGACTAGGTAGAGGATGTTTCTGCAATTTTAAAGTCACTGAATTTTTTAGCTTAATGAGGACATTTTTGTTTTCTTGGTGATACTTCATTGTATAAGTTTTGCATTTTGTTAAAGCAGAGGATGGCTGACATGTTTTGGTAAGCATCCTACCTTAATTACCTATCATGTAATAACAAGTATACTCTCAGTCTTCCATCTGTAGGATAGAATGTTATGAATATGGTTGGTGGCAGGGGACAAAGCATGTCTTTACTAAATCATGTAGGGCTTTTTTTAAAAGCCTATAAAACTTGAGCAAAAAGTAACCATGGTTAAGATTGGAAAAAAAATACTGACTAGTGGAACAAGTTTATCTTTTTGCCATACATGATATGGGCTAAGCAGCAGATGGCTACAATAACTTGAACTAGAAGTATGGTGGCCATGGGATTTTAATGTGGAACAATATCAATACTGATAATAATCACATTTCAGGAGTGTTTTTGGTTCCCAAAACTAGATGGGAAAATTTTCAACTCCCTTCAGGGAACAGGGATTTTTATTACCTGGTTTAAATCCTTTTATTAATCTCCACATAGGCATGAGGAACTTGGTAAAAAAATACGAACCACCCAGACCTGAAGAAGTTGCTGCTCTGAAACAGAAGCTGGAGAGGTGTCACTCTGCGGAGCTTGCACTTAATGTAGTCACGTAAGTAGATGTGAGACTGCCATTCAAGAATAGAGCTGTTACTGTGTCCAGCTAGTCTTTAAGTTATTTAACTGGTAAGTTTTGTTCATGTGGGGAAAACTGACTTACCCCCAAATCTGATTTTCTTTTTTTGAGTGGAGATTTCTAATAGGATTAAACACAACATAATAAATTATGAGTTTGGGTTTCAGTAGTATATTCTGCTTCCGCTCTGACTAATGTGTCCTTCCGCTTGCAGGCCCTGTCCCTTTCTGTTACTCTTTGTGGGATCCATGGGGCAGAGACTTTCTAGGGAATTCCTGAACCTCTTCTTGCCCTTTTAAGCTTTGGGTCCTTTGTGGTCTGCTATCTCCTCTGAAGAATAAGTGCACTATTCTAGACTTAACATGTATTCGCTAGGGTAGAGAAACTTGGCTATTTTCTCTGTGGTCATTTTATGCTGAAGACAGAATCAATAGGCTAATGTGTTCAGTGTCTTCTTGTAGCCACAAGGAACACCATAATGCTGCTTTTTTGACTTGTAGGCTGAATGTGAAAATCACTGTATTTGGGCTCTTTATGCTTTGCAATTTGAAATATCTACTTAAACCTTTTAGGTGTTTGAACAGTTGAAGATCTGGGTAGCATAATAGGAATGGTGAAACTTGTTCTGTGGACTGCAGTCTGTAAAGTTTACTGGGAATTAGCTCTGGCATCTGAACAGTCAAGGTGCATTTGAAATGTTTTTGATCTGTATAATTATAATCTCTACACTATCGGATAATACGTAAGCCAGCACAGCATTAAGGCCTTCGGATCAGGTACACATGACTCAGATTCTTTAACTAAAGTTACAGTGTGTAAAATATGAGACTCATTATATTTGTAGCTGTAACTGCAAAACATGGCTTAGCACAGAATTTAAAATTGGTGCGTTTCACTCCTGGCTTTCTCTGGTGACTAGAAGGAAGGAATGGTTACAGAGAAGTTAAGAAAAATGGTGACTAGAGAAAAGCATTGCAGCACTGATTGATAATCTTTTCACATTGATTTTGACATGGGCTTCGAGCAGGGGTGGCCAAACAATAGCCCATATGCCAAATCTGGGCCAGTACCTGTTTATAGATAAAGTTTTCTTGGGCCATAGGTACACCCACTAGTTCGCATTATTGTCTATGGCTACTGTCACACAATAACAGAAGAGTTGGGTAGTTGTGATGGAAACTGCATGGCCTACATGCCTAAAATACTTACAGTCTGGCCTTTTTAAAGGAAATTTTGTCAGCCATTGAACTCTTAACTCTTGCAGCTACGTAATGGACTGTAATAGGAAATTCTTAATTGCTAGAATTTACATCTTATTCCAGGTGACCATCTGCTTTGCACCGTGTGAGATCATGCACATGTCAAATCTTGCATGAGTACTTAAGTGCTGCTTCTGAAACTGTCTGGAAGGGACTGTTGGTTTTATTTCTAGCCCATTACACATAAAAAAAGAAAAAAACACATAAAATAAGCTTAAATTTTATTAGATTTAACAGTCATAAATTATTCTATCAAATTTCTATAAAGTTTCTAGACACATACTTAGTTTCTGTACTTATTGCACACTGGAGATTGTTCATGGACCAGCAACATCGGTCCATGGACCCACACTTACAAGCATTGCTTTGGGACAAAATATTTTTCCTTGGACTTTAAGATTCTTTTCAGTGTACAAGTACTATATTGTCACTATTAAAGCCAGTTAATGCAGGTAAATCAAAGTTCTCCTTGAGCAAACCCCAGTCCCAGTTGTGACCTGAGAGGCATTTACCTCTGCCAAGCTTTTCTCTATGTCTGTGCACAAGATATAATTTCCCACTGTTTTCATATAAATTGTACAACATTTAATACTGTCAGTCTTTAACTGTTTCCAGTCTGGGCAAAAAAAATAGTATCATCTTTTAGTTTTCATTTCCCCTTTTACTTTGAGGCATTGATATTTCTGTGTTCAGGAATCATTTGCATGGCTTCTGTATTGCATAATTATAAGCCCTACTCAATTTCCTGGTGTCATTTTCTTACAGTTTTTGAAACTATTTTCTTCAGTTGTTCCTTTTACTTTGTGATGTAGGCAACATGTCTTTTGCTTTACACGCTTAACATCTAAACACCTTTTCTTACCCTAAATTATTATTTTGCCTTTTGTTCAGCTGTAAAAACCATTTACAATTATTTGTGCCTGGTCTGAGGTAGAAATCTCATATTAAAATTTTTGTTCAAATAAGTAACCCATTATACCAGCCATTTAAGAATCTCTTGATTTTCTCTTATTTTAAATACTCATTTATTACAGATTAAATCCCTGTATATACTTTGTTTCTTGCCTGTCTGATCACTGATCTCTGTGCTGCTTTGCTGATACAATCAGCCCTCTGGACCATTGCCATTTTATATAAGGGACTTGACAACGTGAGGATTTTGGTGTTCTGGGGTTCCTGGAACCAGTTGCCCTCAGATACCAAGGGACAAGAGAAGGACAAGGTCCCCTTGCATTGTTCCTTTTCAGATTCTTTTGCTAATGTTTCCCAGGTCAGAGTTTGGCTTGATAAGCTCCATGAAAAGTATTGTTTTTGGACTGTAACTAGAATTGCATTGAATTCAAAGAGTAATTTGAAAGAGAGTTTTCCTATCCGAATTTTTCACCTCTTTCCATTTATCCAGGCTTTGGTCTTCAGTAAATATCTCTCATAGCCTTGCTAACTTATTCTGTTGCCCATATCAGATTGCTTACTGATGGCTGCTAAATTGCAGGAAGAAGAGAAAAGGTTATGAAGATGATGATTATGTTTCAAAGAAATCCAAACATGAGGAGGTATGTTCTCCAAAGGGAAAATGTGAATTACTGTTGTATATATAGTCTGGTACAACCATAATGTTAAGGTTTTATTGTTCTAGAGTACAAGCATTATAGAGACAGGTACTGGAAAGCTTTCTTTTGTATCCTTTATTAACCTTGGCCGTCATCGGAGGAATTTTTCTCACTTCTGTCTTGGCCTGTTCTGAAGTAGTACAATAGTTACTTAATGAAGAGTCCTTCCTAAGGTTATAGAAGGTAGTGGATATACTTCTTGATCTTCAAGGAGTCTTTTCCTACCCTTGTTTTAAGAGAATTGTACATGTCAAGTCAGATAAAAATGAATAATCAGACCCAGAACGTCACAACTGTAATGTTTATTCCTGTCACTAGGCTAACCTGGTAAGACCACACCATATTATTATAAGGTTAAACTGCCACAAATTTTCCTGATTTATTTACCTTATAAATCAACATAGCAAAAGAACATTTTCCTAAAGAGAGGCAAGAAGGTAAACAATACTGGTTATGCTTCAGTATACTGTTATCCTTATGACATTTTCTTTCCTTCTTAGGAAGAATGGACTGACGATGACCTGGTAGATTCTCTCTAGCCATTTGAAATTGATTTGTCAATGCTAACTAATCATCAGACGGATGAAGCATGTCTGGCATTTAACTTTATTTGTGAAAGCATCAAAATATATTAAACTTTTCTATTTATGTTATTTAAAATTTTTTCCTTTCAGGGTAGCTTTATGTGAAATAAAACATCTTCAAAGGAGCCAGAGTAACACCAGGCTTGGGTAATCTTACCCCATCATGACTGATATCTAATTAAAGCCATAATTTGCCAATGTTGATTTATATAAAGTGTCATAATCTAACATCTGTTTATTAAAAAGATACCACAAAAAAACCAAACTTAGTATTTTTATAGGTGCTAAAGAATGTTGGTTGTTATAGCATTTAATTAGTTAACTGTAATCTTAGTTTCTAGAATTGGAACCAAATTACGATAGTCGGTCAGTTTTTTTGGCTAGAAAATGGGGTTAAAGAAATTCTTAGAAACTCAATTGTCCTGAATCTAAATTTTCCAGATACACACGTCTCCTCACTGTCAGTGCATCCCAGGACACACCTTTCCATAATGTATAGGTGCCATTTCATTTACATTTCAAATGCTGAAAGTAAAATTGACTCTATGCATATTCTTTAATAATTCTTTGTATTTCAGGCTTGAGCTTTTTGGTTTTAGTTTCCTTCTCACTGAGAAATGAGAGGAATAAAAGTCACTGAGTGTGACCGTGTGAAGGTGAAGGGGGAGAAGCCGAGACTGCCGACCCTCCGGGACAGTCCAGATGAAGTAGCAGCGCTCCAGGCTCTAGCCAGGAGGCACAGGGTCCACAGTTACGTAGCGTGTTTCTCTCTCAGGTCACTAAAGCTTGGCATCAGGGCAAGGTCCGCATTTATCTCTGAAGATTTTCCTACCAAGCCCCTTAAAAAAAAAAGTTCAGAGGTTTTATTTCATCATTGATCAGCTAAGTGACTAAGTCCTACAAAGGTAATAACAAATCTTTTATTCCAGTTTTAAGAGAGAAGTATGTCATTAAAATATGAAAAGCAGGGTATCTACGTTTGTGGGTTTGTTTGGGTTTTTTTAATAAATAAAAGGCAGGAGTAGTAGTTGAGATCAGGAAAGGGCAGATAGGTTAGTATGGTTAAAACTGAGGTGTGAGTAGAGGGAGAGAACCAAATTGCCAAGCACTCTAATCTGGACCTTTTTATTTCCAAAATGTTTTCAGAGATGTCACTAGTCTGTATCCCTTCTAGTATCCTAGACCACCACAGGAGGCCAAATGGCATACCACTGCCTAGCTGAAAAGAAAGGAACACAGGATATGCTGAGTATTTTGGTATCACTGTTCAACTTGTAAAATTGCAGCTACTTTAGGGCTAGTTACCTCCATACAAATAACAACATTTAATATTAATGCTTAAAATACAGGAAGAAATATTGTCGCTGTTAGAACGTAGGCCTTCAGAAAATTTTTACTTATTGTGGGAAATGCTTTTCTCAATACGTTCTTGTTTAGAACCACCTTCTATGTATGCCTTGTCTCCCCTGGACAATTATGGGAGGGAAAGAATTGTTAACAAATACATAATGAATTAATAAAACCCTTCAAGAGACCCTTAGCCAGGAAAAAAAAAACAAAGCTGAAATTTCATCTTTTCCCTGAGCCTTGCTCTGGTACTAAATTTTGAGCTGCCCCTAAAGGAGGAAGAAAATAATGAAATTAAATGTTTAGCTGTATTTAGACAGAAGTAATCAATTTTAAGATATCCCTTGGTTTTATTTTAACTTAACCCTGTGAATAATTCACAAAAATACACATACAGGAGCAAATAAAACTATACAGTCAAACTAAATATCCAGCAGATACAACAAGTAGTCAGAAGGTCAAAGATGTTTGATAGTTGTTCAGTGGCTGATGAAATTGTTCGCATAATTTAAAAAATCAATTTGGAATTAATGAATATATTCAACGGAAGTATTCTAGGTTTTTTTCTTTTTAACATACAAAAGAAATTGGTCATATATAAATGGTTGAATGGGTAACATGCATTGATCAGTACACAATGACCAATAATATTTATTGAATTCAAACTATTTACTGTTGTAAACATTAAACAAAAGCATGAGATCTAAATACAGTCTTTGACAATTCCAACAAAATAAGTGGTACGTTTAAAAAATAAAGCTGATGAGCAATAGATTCACTCTATATATTTTCTTTCAACAGTTCCAGCAGAGATAGTACAGTTATTTTAAAAAAGTATACAGCAAGGATTGTTCCTATTGTAATGGCAAATTCTGGAAACTGTAAATACAAATAAAGTCATTGAACAGTCAGACGGTCATATTCCTAATTCAGGAAGAAGTAACAGTAAGAACAGTCTGCAATCCAGTTATACTCAATTGTCAACAGAGAATGCTTTTTCATAGTTCTTTTCTCAAGAAACAGCAAAACTTTGGCAATTGAATGTATTGAAAATATATTTTCAAAGTTCAAGATACAGTCATAACATTGTGTGAAAGGTGATCTGTACACCAAGGCTCAGAGGTTGGTAAAGATAGCTTACGAAGCTGCCGGAGCAGCTACCAGCAGAATCTCGAGTTCTGTTTGCATAGCTCACACATCACTGGAATGTGGAAAGGTGTGCTATTTTTTTGGCAAGAGCAAAGGAGACATTATACTGATGTGATTTACCATTTTGGGCATGCTGAATCCATGCAGAACACTGCGGCGAAGGCTGCTACCTGACGTCGTTGGTTTTTGTATACTGGTTTTGTTTTTGCTGAAGCAGTTCTGTTATAGCCAGAAGCTTTTTCAGTACATGCTAGACAAGGAAAAACAATATGAAAATAATTAGTAAATGAATGAAAGCTCTGTCAAATCCCAGGGATGGGAAACCTGGATTTGAGAAATACCATATGAACTCAAAGGGATTCATAAAATAATATTACCATTCTACTCAAAAAAAGCATACAATTTTAAGTATGTATTACTCAGTCCTTGATTGAATATTTCTGGTCATGTTATTTTGGTTAAGATATAATTTTTTACTCACTAAACACATTTCTGTTGGGCATTCTCATATCTACTTAGGCCTCAACAATCTTATCAGAAGGATAGAACATCTTACCAGAAGACAGATTTATCATTATAAATGACATACATCAAGCCCTGTAAGAGCACATAAGGGCAATCCGGCTACAGGCTAATGAATGCTATAATCATGAAAAGAATGACAACATTGGGCCTAAAATTAAATCATTCAGCTCCTTTATCTTTCTTAGAAAGTCTTAATTGAGCCAAATTCTCCAAAAAAATAATTAAAAAAAAAAATTATTTAAGGCAAGCCATATAATAAACCCAGCTCCAGTGTAGCGGGAAGGCAATTTACATGCCAAGGGCATGTAAGTAGGTCTATGGCACATATTCTGCCTAAGTTTCTAAAGTGATTGGAACCTAAGTGAATCATGCTATTATCTAAACTGGGAAGAAACAAGAATTGTAGAATCTCAGATTGAGGAGAACTCAGAATCACTGAACTCAATATGTTAATCTCTCCTATAAGGTCCCTGCCAAATGTCGGCCACTGGTGACAGTGCTTAGTTTTTAAGGCCATGTTCCAGAATCTCTGGATCTTGAAATGTTTTTACCAATCTTAAAACACATGCATAATTCTCATGTGTTTGACAGTTTGCAAAGTTACCTGGGCATGCACGGGGTGTGTGTGTGTGTGTGTGAGAGAAGCAGACAGAAAAACACTACATCACTACTGACTGAGCGTTAGCTCACTTACCACTTCCATACACGCTACAAAGGGTATAAACACCACCGTTTTTTCAAGTAGAGTTCATATTAACTTAGAAGCAAGGTTTGACATTTTGTGCCATGAAAAATATGTAATCTTAATCTGGGCTCATCATTCTTGTTTGCTGAGATCTTTGTGGATTTTGATTCAGAGTCTTAAAATTTTAATATAATTAATAAAGTAAGACTAATCCAGCTATTTATCAGCTCTCAAAGAATCTTATGCTGATATTGTGCTTACATGTAGAGAAATAGCATTGTTAACAAAGGCTGGCAAAAACCTACCTGTTGTGCACCACGCTCATTACTGAGTGTCCGCAGTTCATCTGAATGGGCCACACAAATCTCATGCAGTGCTGCTAAATCACGGGAAAGGTCAGTTCTAGAATGCTCTGTAGTGTCCGGAAGTTCAGGTACATTCTTTAAGGGAATCATAAAACTGTGTTTAGAAATAACGACTAGTATCTCTTCTGAAAAGATCTTAACTGGTACAATAAATAAAATTTAATACATAATAATCTCTTACAATTCAACTTGATAGATTTTATGACCTCAACATTCACACAAAAATCAGGTTGCATTTTCTTCAATCACAGGACAAAACATCGTGCAGTATTACTGCTATTGTAAGCAAATGGTTTTTCTAATTTTTTTTAGAACTATGAAGAGTTTCTTTTTTTTTTTAAGGAAAAAAAATGGAGGGCAAATTATGCAAGCATTAACTCTTTAATATGGATTAGAGGCAACCCAAACTTAAAATTCCTACACTCTTTCAGACTGACTTTCATGATTAAACTGGTATAGTTTGTCCAAACTCATCAGCACATATAAGAGCTACATTACAAGTGTTAATGAGAGCCGTTCAGGTCTATAATTATCTGTGGACTATGCCACAAACACATAACTAATATATAGAAATCAGTGTTAATTATCTTCAGATAAGTTTCATAAAGTAACTTAGTGTCAATACAGTACTACCAACCTGTTATACTGAATACTGATTTTACTTTGTTTCAAGTTCCACTACTTTGTTAAAGCAGCTAAAGCAGCAACAGACTGGCAGAGTGGTGAGGTGGGCAGCTAAGAAGATAATGAAAGACAAGACAGAAACTGAAAAATGACACAAGAAATCCAAAAGCCACAATACTGTATTCTTGGTAAAAACTACTTATCATAAATGATTATAATTATAATCAAATGAAATAATTTGTTTAGGAAGGTAGACAAAAATATGCAGCTTTTGAATTTTTTTTTCAGTTCTGGATAGAAAAGCTTTTAGGTGTCAAAATACTTAAAAAATTATATACATACCCCTAGTTCATCTAAAAACATGATCATGCGATGTTTATTACTTTTGATGAATGGATTGACACCTTCCATGTAAGGCTCCTAAAAATAGAAAAATACAAGTCTAACTATATGGATAAAAAGCATCTGATCTGTAACAAAAACCATACATATAGTAAAGATTCTTATAAATCATATCAGTACCAGAACATATTTGTAAGAATTTAATCATAAAATGACTTTTCCTTCTAATATAAGCAAGCAGCTATTCTAAGGAATAGAGGTATATTTTTAATGAGCAAATTCTGGATGAAAAAAAAATTCGCATACACAGCCTAGCAGAAACAAACTGTTTATATGTAGGTCATTCAGAAATAATTACTGACTGAGAAACTACTTGGCAAGTACCCAGAGGTGATTAGAATCTAGCAGAGAATATAATGAATTAAAATACAGTATGATAAGGACTACAGTAAAAAATCAGTGCTCATAACCTGCCTTGGAATTCAGGTACATTAAAAAGCTAAGTCAGACTACAAACTGCTTCTTTCTACAGTCTTAAACCTATTCTAAAACATGCTGTGTTACAAGTTCAGTATTAACACAAGCTCTTTTAAATTCAGTAAGGTGAGATAAGGACCTAGACATGAAAAATCATATAGTCTAATAAAAGTGATGAAATAAGGAAACAAAGTAGTGTGCCTATCAGATTGTCAAAAATAAACGCGTAATAATAGCTGAGTTTTGGCAAGGCTGAGAGGAGCAAAAAGTCTTCTTACTTAGTAATTCTGCTCCAGAGTTCATTTAAAGAAATAACTGGACAAGTTTGAAAGGAATTGTGTGTGTGTGTGTTTATCTCTAAGGATATAAGGTACAGTGACAAACTGGAAGTCATCTAAGTATCCAGCAGAAGACTACTTAACATTTACATGATGGCATTAAATAAGGATTAAAAAAAATAATTATATATTTTCAGATACAACAAGAAGTTTAATAATGACAAAAGCAGGTGATATACTAACAGTCAGTTGTCCTTAGTAGGATCACATATGGGTGCTTTAAAAACTCATCTAAATTTTAATATTACAGAGAATGTTTAGCATGTAATACATAACAAATCAACTGGGGTACATTTTAAAATATGTTAATTGATTTTTATATTTAAAAATGGAAGACTGGTTATTCTCGAAATTACACTGAAAAAAGTTTTCTATACTAGCTAAAACAGTGGTTTTAAAAATTGTTATTAAAATCTAAAAACATTAAATATGTGAACATACCAACAAAATCATAAATTATCCTTATGAAATATCCACTGTTTAAAATTTACATATATTTTATGGTTTTACTGTGTTGAGGTTTCACTCAAAAATGACATTTTAAAGTATCAAAATGTTTTTACCTTAGCTCCAAATTCCACAAGATTTGCTAAGTTCTGCACAGACTTAGCCACTAATGTCAGTGTTCTTGCAGCAATAGGAGATGGGGAATCTATAAGAGAATTGGGCACAGCTAATGACACCAACTCCAAAGGTACTTCTAGGTAAACCATTATAAATTTAGCACTTTATTATTTCTTTACAGTTAAAAATACTAACATTCTTCCATTCAGAATGCAGTGTTTTTTGGCAAGTGTATGACCTGTATGAATCAAAAGAGCTTGATTTAAAGAAGAGAAACCAAACACACTTATCAGCACTTGTAGTTTGTGAAAAGGCCACTACAAGACTCAGCAGTTCCCAACTGGCTGATAGTATCACAAAGTACCTCAAACCTCTATCACTGTGAAGACGGTCACTCCACAGGACCTTGGGGACAGTTCACAGATTGTGAATTTAAACCACCCAGGTTGTCAATTTGCAACATCAACAGTTTCCTGCTCCCAGCCTCCACTCAGTCAAGTAATTCACTTTAAAGCTCAATAACAAAGTCTGGAATCTCTGCTTTATTTTGAGGAGAAAAACATATAATTTATTAATTTTTATAAGTTTCTTTAAAGGTTAATCAGGAAATATTGCCCTATATTGACAGTAGGCTATAAATGAAAAATATTTGTCTATTAATTTTAAGCTCTGAAATGTGATTATTTTATACTAAAAGCCTATAGGCTGCCTGATTTTAAATTGTATTCTTTTTATCTTAAGCTGCTAAACAATAAATAATATTGCCTAGGGGTTCAGGGTCCAACGTTCAGATAAACACATCTCTCCAAAAGAACTCTAAACCCTTAATAGACCCAAAGATTTAACCATTTTAGCAGCAACAAAGTATTTACAGAGATATGATGGCTATAAAGATAAAATTTAACAAAAATGTTTAATACAGTTTTAAGCTTCAATTTATTAAGACAAATGCTTCAGATTCCTTCTGCTAATAATTGCTTATGATTACATTTATAGTCACAAATATCATTCTTTTCCTTTATTTGAAAAGTCTAGTACAACATCAGAAAGTCAGTCCATAATGGGCATATTAGTAATATGCAAAACCGAATCTGGTTTGTTGGAGTTTAAAATTTCAATTATCATTATGTATTTCATGACAAGAAATCTCTACTGGGAAATCTCAAGGGACTCCTTCATAAGTATTCACAGAGTACTACTACAGTTGCAGCTAAAATTTTAAAATCCAACTTGCAATGGTAGTGACAAGATTCTAGCATGAGCTAAAAGCACACAGAGAGCTCTTCTTCCCAACCTGAAAAAGCCAATACCGCAGACTGGAAAAAGTCCTAAGACTTTGAGACACAGGTAGGGACAGGCTAGAAAATGGTATGTGTCTACTTATGCCATTTCAGGCTTCAGATAGTAGTGGGAAAAAAGCAAGATTGAAAGAAAAGGTAAAACAGCAAAAACAAGTCAGGTGCTTTTTTATACCAAGTCTTAGAAGAAAATAATTAAAAAATCAGATTTAAAAGAAAAAATGAGTAACCTCACTAAAGAGTATGAAACTTTTTTTTAATTTCAAAATTTATTACCTGAGATGATATTAAACATCCGTGGATTCAGGATGGCAGGACAGATAAGTCGAAGAAAAACAAAACCACTGAATGGGAGGGAAATTTTATTATTTTAGAAAACTACTATAATGTGTTACATTAAAATAATAAAAATTTTAATAGCTGTAGAGCTATGAACTTTGAACTAATGTAGGGATGACCAAATATACAACTTTATGAAAATAATAAACTATTTTAAGAACATATGTATATATTCTGCTTCTTAAACATATGTACTTACCTCATTTAGAATTTTAGGTTTACTTTGGGAAGATTTAAGTTATATCTGTAAAATTCACTGTTTATCTCAGGCCAACAGTGAATTTTATACTTACTTTGAGGAAGGAGTATCGTTAGGAACACTAGGAATTTCTAAAATATTGTAGGAATACAAGTAAACCTTTTTAATAGATGCATAGTTCTGTAAAGGTCTTAAAATTGACGTTCTCTCACTTCTCTTTCCTCTTTCTTAGAACAGACTACTATAAATCAAGTCTGTTATACCGACTTTGTTCACTTATTATTATGAAAAAATTTAAGTATCCATTGTACTAGGCGAAAAGTGACTTCTTAATAAATGACAAACATAATGTTGAAAAGCCTTTAAGGCAATGGGGGAAAAGGCTTTCTAAAGTTAAAAAAAATTCTCAGATTACAAAATATTAATAGCAAAACAAAACTTACTATAAATGCACATTTAACAACAGTTGTCATATGATTTTACCTGCTAATCTTACTTACTCTGGGAACAAAGTACATCTACAAGTTTATATTGCTAGTCTGCCCCCTTTGGTTACTGGTATAGTCCTCATTTAGATAATATTTCTCTAACTTACTCTTAAAGAGGGATCCACACTCATAACTGACCTCTCACCTGCCCTTGGAAAGATAAGCATTATTTCCAAGTTGATAAAATTCTTTTTATAAATTAAAATAATTGACACAGTCTCTTTTCTCTATTAGAGTGAATAACCCAACTTCTCAGCATTCACCTCCCAACAATGTTGTTTGCTAATTTTGGGAAATCTTGGAATATGTTGATTCTCAGACAGCATATTAAATCTTCAGATGTCTTTTAATTTATGAGGAAATCTGCCTAAGTTTTACTTGAAGATTTTGCTGTCTTTCCCTTTGAAACTGAAATATAACCTGACCACACTAAGTCATACAAGAAGTTCAGTGTGCAGATCTACTTTCTGTGAGTTCTTAGAGGTAACTTTAAATATAAGAGGGGTACTAGGTATCTACATGTATATTTAAAAACTTAACTAGGGGCAGAAGTCACCACCTAGGCCATGCCCCTTAAAATACCCTGTCATATCAAACCGCATAGCAGAACTTCCAGCTGTTTGCTTAACAAACATACTTATATGAAACTTACAGACCAGTTTTCATTTGTATCACACACAACTGTGCTGAAACATATGCTTGTAATTCTTTTCTATTCCTCTCAATCTCTACTAAAGCCAAAAAATGTAAAATTGACAATTCTTAGATATTTGTCATATCATTAGTAATCAAGAGATTTTATCTGTAAAATGAGATATCTCTACAAATATAGGTTGGGGACAGGATTAATGCACATTTTCAAAACTAATTCTGTGATACTGGTGTCTTCAGTAGTTGCCCAGTTGTGTGTTGGTTTTTTTTTAATGGTCTGTAACATGATAGGCAGCATAGATCCTATATGATAAATTTTATTATCATTAGACTGCTGAATTCTCTGATGCTTTTGCAATAATTTTCCTACAGTCTTGAATAGGTTGTGGTGTGCTTAATAAAACCTTTCAGATGTTAAGGATTTTAGACTGGGTCTTAGACATTTTGCCTTTGGTTCTGCCTTGGCCACTATCTATCTATATGACCTTAAGCAAATTCAGCATCTACAGATCTCCTTCCTCATTGCAGAAGTTACAATAATACCAAAGTCATCCTACATAAGCTACAAAATGCTATGACTTGACAGAGCAATTCCTTCTAATTACTGCACAACTAACACACTGAGACAGCTTCAGAACTACAGACTCTGGCAGGAGATGAGCACCAAGACACAGAGAGTTACAAACCAATTCATCAATATCCGTGTGGTTCAATTATTGCTTTTCCTAGAGACACATCAACTCATTGTAGTCTGCCCCCTCCCTCCTCTTCTACCTGTTTCCTTTTCTATGTATGTATACACACATAATGGGCTTCCCCGGTGGCGCTGCAGTAGAGACTCTGCCTCCCAATGCAGGAGACTCAGTTAGATCTTGGGCCAGGAAGATCCCCTGGAGAAGGAAATGGCAACCCACTCCAGTATTCTTGCCTGGAGAATCCTATGGAGAGCAGCCTGGCAGGCTACAGTCCATGGGTTTGCAAAAAGTTGGACATGACTCAGTGACTAAACAACAATAATACACATATATGCATAAATGTATATGTGTGTATATGAAGGGTACTATATGATGTTAGCTACATATTTTTGTTGGTTATATAACTTTTAACTTCATTCTATATGGTTTAAAAACAAACAAAAAAAGACCTTCCCAAATAGTTGACTATCAGTGATTGTTCAGGTTTTTAGAAAATGCAAAATGGTAGCTAGCTAAGTATTTCATAGTAACTTAAAAAAAAAAAAAGCAACAGTAAGTTAAAGTTTAGGAGCTATCTGAATTTAGAAAATATTCAACAGGGCCTGACATAAAATTCAAAGAAAAAGGTCTTTAATTGTATACTATATACTGTTAGTCTTCACATTTCCACACTTATCCACTTGACTATTGATGCAGGCTATTAAAATGATTTAACAAATCAATTAATAAGCCTTACCTAACAACTCTTGTTCTCATGGTGGTATTTGTAGGCCACTTGTGCTGAACAGATTTCTGTAAACACCCATAAATATACCTCAGTGTCCTGCCAAAATAACACAATCATCTCAATACAGAAAGCAAGTGAAAATACTGATCTCATTGCAGTCTAAAGTTCATGACATTTTTAAATGCAACTAGCCTTTTTCCCAAAAAAAATACTCTGCTACAAGTAATGACATTTAGCAAAGGATAAGGGAAACTTAGATTTTTGTCCATTCATTTAGCCAATTCTTTATATCTACTACGGAGGAAATCCTACCATTTTCAAACTTCTATATTAATGAAAAGAATGAAAAGATACTAGAATGGAGGCAGATTTTAATGTAAGTTAACTTCTGCCTGAATAAGTCAATTCACTAACACTGGAAGCCACTAAGCAGATACCGAGTAATTATCCTGTGTACATACTGAGGAAGATATTAAACTATAGATGGGAGAGGTACATATGTTTCATGATCTCAAACCTGAGACTGTAAGCTTCTATTCATTCCTCAAGTTACTAGATAAACCAGACATACTGGCTGTATAAAAACATGATTTATTTTAATGCAAATATTTCACTTTGGTTTCTTCAAGTCACTTTTTCCTTAAACACAATTCATCGTGTAAAGATTAAAAACTCTACTTTCTTCAAAGTATAACAGGATAGTGAAAAAGCTTACACATGTTTTTAGAAATACAGATTTTAAAAAGGCAATATACAATTTCTTATCAAATTAAAATTTCACCACTTACGGTGGAAGTATTTCTGAAGCCATGAATATTTTCTCCACAAGCTCTGAAAGTATGTTCAATAGGTGTGCTAAATTAGTGTTCACATCTTCATTTTTTTCTAACTTTGATGGACTTAACTGAGAGAAGGAATAAATCAATATAAACGCATCTTGGCAATAATAAATGCAAATGAATCAAGGTAATCAAACAGTTGTTTGCAAAGTTCTCTATTTTTCCATTCAATCTGTATTAGTCTTTTGGTGTTGGTGGTGGGGCTAAATGGGAATTTCAAGTAGTTTATCTCTATGGAACTCTTAATGGGTTTATTACTGTTAATTCCCAACTACTCAACTGAAGAGCAAGCAATGATTATTCAACAATTTTCAGCTGCCTTGGGGTTAATACTAATCAATAAAATTTTCTTTTATTCATTTAGCACATTTTACCATAGACTTTACAGGCGCACAAAACTGTATTAGACTTTATTTTAAACATAATACTCCCAACTACAACACAAAAACCCCATTTAAGTGGCCACATATTCATAGATACATTGGAGTATTTAATTGGGAAGAAAGATCACCGTATATTATTATAAAACCTATCTTAATTCTAAATTTATGTGAGGAAAAAATTAATTAAAATAGAAAAGTTTTTATGAATAAGACTTTTTAAATGACTGATAAAATACCAGATGCCTCAGTGGCAGCATCATGAACTTTCCAGTAACTTTTGATATGTAAGAATTCTTGTCTAGAATCAATGGAGTAGATGTATCTATGGGAATCTAAATACCTTAGCCTGGATTCAACATCCAGAGACTTTCTGCAGACTTGCTGCATTTCTGTATCCTTTATACTTATGCTAACTATGGTGTTAACCCCAGGTCTGCAGTACTATATTATCAATTTGTTCTCTTTGAGTTAATAAGTAAAAATTGACAATTTAATGCAGAATGAACATCTCGACTGATCCCAGTGTACATTATCAAAGCAATTCCTTTATTCTGTATCAGATCTAAAAAATATTATCCTTCTGTAGTTGCTCTACCTTCAAAATAAAATGATAAAATAGTCACATAAATAAGATTCTACTCTTTTTCTTAATGGTTTGTTATGAGTTTACGTTACCGACCCTGGGATCAAACCCAGGTCTCCTGCACTGCAGGCAGATTCTTTACCATCTGAGCCACCAGGGGAGCCTGAAGCCTTTAATAATTAATCCTAAAAGGATGTTTTTATTTGCTTGTAAGGGGATACCTCTGATGCTCCTACTACCCTGCTCCCTGCCACCCAAAAAAAAAAACCCTAAGGACAAACCTAGATATTATTTAGAACTTACACAACAGAAATCTCTTAACAAAAACTTCAGTTTATGTTATGGACACTTTTGAAAGTAGTATATACTTTATAACAAAAGTACTTTCATGTATTTCTGGCACAATTTGAAGTTTTTAATCCCCAAATAAAGTATATCTTTTTGAAGTCTGTTTTGCATAGCATTTTTCTAATTGTATTACAAAAGGTATAACTGCTCTAATGAACAGTTTTAGACAGCTAATACATTTTCCTTAAAGTTAGCTATAAAGTATTACCTATTAAAATATGCTCTTTCCTGAAATACAACATTACTCACCTCACAAGACTGCTTGCTTTCCATTATCTTTAAGATAGAGTCTTTCAAAGCGTGATGAACAAATTGTGTAGCAGTGGCTTTCATATACTGCTCCATCAAGGTGCTCGCAAGTGTTGTGGCTCGAAATAGGGTAGTGGCTTCATCTACATAGATATTTAATATTAAAAAATTATTTGTAAAGGATTGTACTATTGTGAATCAAATTGGAAATTAATTGAATTGTTTTCCTTAACCAATTATAGCCATTTAAGCATATTTATCTGCATGCAGCATTACTGAATATAATGATGTCCTGTATTTCTATAAACTTAACTCTTCAAAAGACTTCTATTACTTCATAAGATCATAAACAGAAGGGATTCACACTGCCATGTTCATATAAACACACAGAGGCTTCCGACAGTTATATGGCTTGTCACTAGGACTAAAGAGCCAGATAGTGACAAAACTAGGACCAGAATCCACTTGCTTTCCACTGGGCCCACACTGGAAAATATGAGTTGACTCCCAACAAGCGTGTAACACAATCCCAGCACAGACTGACAGTAGTCCAGCACAGCCATTAGTAACTTTTAACAGAATTCCAGAAAACAAATACTGAAAGAAAGGAATCTCAGGATAAAATATGTACTGCCACCTTACATTTTTGTATTTTCTAGGAGGAGGAGGAAATAGTTCTAGATTCTACAGTTTATTAATACCTGGGGAACATAGAAGCAAGTATTGTGTGAGTCAAAGTGCTGGTTGGAAATGAGTTATTCTGACCTATTTACAGGTGGTTACAAAGTACAATGTGTCCAGTTGCCTAGAAACTACCTATCTATATAGATGCTAGAAATAAAATACAGCTGACATCCAACTTTTGTGCAGTGAATTTATAAGCAAAAAAAAAAACGAGATCATAGTAAGCATACCAAACTATTCTTAATAATTAGACGCACTATCAATCAATGATCTGGACATGGAAGTCACTCTTATTGCTTCTAATACTAATTTGCCATGACAGAAACCTGTATTAAATATAAGTAACCCTCTGCTTCCTAAATTAGCCAGCATAAGAATCAGAACTGACACTCCCAACTAATTTTTTAATGAAGGAAAAACCGAGTAACTTCCTTTGTAAGATGATTTAATTATTTAATGTTTTAAAATAAAGTCCATATATATTCTTGATTATAAAAGAAAGCTAAGCGCTGAAGAATTGATGCTTTGATGCTTTTGAACTGTGGTGATGGAGAAGACTCTTGAGAATTCCTTGGACTGCAAGGAGATCCAACCAGTCCATCCTAAAGGAGATCAGTCCTGAATATTCATGGAAAGGACTGATGCTGAAGCTGAAACTCCAATAGTTCGGCCACTTTTGTGAAGAACTGACTCATTGGAAAAGACCCTGATGCTGGGAAAGATGGAAGACAGGAGGAGAAGGGGATGACAGAGGATGAGATGACTGGATGGCATCACCGACTCAATGGACATGAGTCTGAGTAAACTCCGGGAGTTGGTGATGGACAGGGAGGCCTGGTGTGCTGCAGTCCGTGGGGTTGCAAGGAATTGGACACAACTGAGCGACTGAACTGAATCATTAACCCAGTTTTTAAAAGTATCACACCAACACATCCATACTATACCTTCCATGCTTATTTCTCTGTCATTTAGTGTACATAACAACAATGATTCAAGCTTTTCATGAAGAAAAATCTTCAGTAGAATGCTAGCCAGTAGTGTTCGGTCCTGTCCACATACATGTGATAAAGCGTAGACTACGTGAAGCTCCTTTTGCAGTATAAGCTATAAAAGACATTGAGAAAGGTTGTTGAAAGTATACAACATTGGTCATTCTCAGATGAACAGAAAATATGTTCTTCTATGGGCTTCCCAGGTGGCACCAGTGGTAATGAACCCACCTGCCAATGCAGGAGACATGAGAGAGATGGGCTCGATACATTCTCAATTTAGGGATATGTCCTATTGAATACATGTATTAAAAACAGAATGAGATTGTAGCCTTTATATTCATAGACTTAATACGAGTGTCATACTGCCACAGGGCTTTTCAATCTTCTGTCACTGTGCCACTAAACTATGAAATTACTATATTTAACTCAATGGACCTTTCATTAAAGGTTAACTATTTCTATTAATGATTTTAAAAATAAATAGTCTGGTAAATAACTTAAATACCTCTTTAAATTCGCTGTACTCTTCTTCTGGCATGATCTTTTCCATAGAATACCGTGCTCGGACACGCAGGGACCCTGGTTCAATGCCTTTCAAGGGTATGTGGGAGCTGAGCAGAAACCATTCGTCTGTGGCGTGCCCCTTCTGTAACCGGCTCAACTGGCAGCGCATAAACACTTCGACAGAAAAACATCAAATGATTACTGTCTCAAAAGATGACACTAATTAGTCCCACAGATTTTCCTAATGTTATGTCTTCTCTATAGTGTTAAATGTTTTCATTAAAGGACTTTTAAGTAATATCACAAACTTGACACTCAATGCTTACTTCATTCATTTGCTGAATGCCTACCATGTGCCAGACTCTCTGACAGGCAAGGATGTGGAGTACAGACATGATTAAGACATGGTCTCTGACATGCATGAGGTGCCTGTGTAGCCAAGGAGGCAAGAAGCCAATGAGGGTTCCTGTGGTAAGTGCTAGAAAGTTGTCAATGCTGGTGAAGTCCTGGGAAATAATTCCTAACTCAGCCTGTGAAGTTTTAAACATCCACGTTAAGCTGACTTGTAACAGGATCTGGAGGTGTATCTAAATAGAAAGGTAGAGAAAAAAAGGCAGTGTGCGCACAGTCTGAACACAAAGTATGATGGATGGTTTTTAAATCCATGGATAATTTAAGAGCTATAAGAAGGCTGGCGCAGCTGGAAAGAAGGATATACAGAAGATTAAGAATGAGGAGTAGGTCAGGAAAGGGTTCTGTATCATTACTAGGGGGTTAGATTTTCTTAATGGGAACCACTAAAAAATGTTAACCATTTAGAACAGTATAGAAATTACAGAGTATAGCAAAAAATTCAGGCTTTGATTCTGTTAACATATATCACTTTTTTTTTCTTCCCAAGCCTGATTTTTAAAAAGATATTTAAGGATTAACCTAATTCATTCTGCGTGAATTGCTAAATCCCACTGCCACCTGTTTCAGAAACAGGCTGGGAAAAGTGTGCTGCAGAGAAGGAGGACTGGCTACTAGAAGTGAACAGTGTTTTAAAGAAAAAAATTTAATACAGTGCTTTTTTTAATGTACATGCAAAGGACAGGAGAGTAAGAGAAACCTCAAAAGTAGGAAGAAGGGGTAAGGAAGCATCACAGAGAGATGACCACTGTCACTGTTTTCTTTTTCTTGTTATTCATTGGGTGAGGAGGGTGAAAAGACACTACTTTAATCTTGAGGGCTTAAGATTACAGCATATACAGTTTAGCCATTTTGGTCTTTATTTTATCTTTTTTGGACACATTCTTTCCCAACAATTAATACTTTCCTATGTACAAAAAGCAATCTCAAGTTATACTACTTACATACCTTTATAATTTCCATTTTAGACTCTACTTCATTATGAATTTCCAAAGTATATAAAACACACTTTACTTTAGAAAGAAATTTCTGAATTAACTTACAGATATCAGGATCTTTGCTTTTCTTCGTTTTATTACTAAGAGTTATTTCAAATCTGTTGATGTCAGGAGGAAGATCACTGAAGAAGCACACGGGGAGAAAAAGAATTAAGAAAATGTCCTGGCATCAAACAATCTAATTCCTTTGTCTCTAGTATCGAATAAGCTCCCTATTTATTTTTGCTACTAACCCAATTCAAAGTGGTAGATTTAAAACTAAATTCAAAACAGGTTTATCATTTGGTACACAAGAATACAGACAAACAAATTACACTTTGCCTACCATCCTTAACTTCCCCAAGTAAATTGTAGAAACCCTCATAAATATTTTGTATGTGTATGTTAGTAAATGCTTTTGGATTTGTCACTATGAATAACTAGGTGAAAAACCACAGACACAGCACTTTACTAACAAAAGTGAACAGATAAGACAGAAAACAAATATAGGTACTATTAAAATGCCTGAGACTGGCACCTTGTGACTGGTTTAGATACAGAGTTAAAAGGAAAAAAAAAAGGGAAAGAAAATGCATTATGGGAGAAGAAAACCATCTCATGTAAGAGAAAATAAGACTTACTCAAAGACAAACTCTTCTGACCACACAGGGTTTTGCCCTTCCCTTGCGTGAGTTTTTGCTACCTGGACGCTATTCAGGTAGATGTTACAATATGGATTAGTAAAATGTTTTACTGGGAGTTTATGGGCTTCTTCAATATGTAAAACAAGACTGCTGACCTAAAGAAAACACAAAAAGTATTACCCCAGATTTCAAGAAGTATGCATTAGGTTTCAAAGGCAATTATAAAAACCCAAAGTAGTGACTTATCCCCCTTTTTTTCAGGAAACATGACTTTCAGTTATGTTTTCCTTTTTAAGTGACACAGAATACAACATTCAGGCATTCAGCAAATTCTCACTTAAAAAATAAATATAATTGTATTTTATAAGTTATTATTCCAATTATAGTCCTACAAAAATAATGAAATACACCTTTTTTACTATAAAATGATGATTCAGAGGAAATTTGAGAAGAGAATTCTTTATTAATTTAAGTAAATAACTGTCACCACCCAAAGCAAAATCTAACATACTATATAATGCTCCTCTGGAAGATTTTATTTCTATCTAGAGTTCCACAGCTAGAAAATATTTTAAAAATACTGATTCTACCTTCTCATTTTACACAAAAGGATACAGATTCAAAGAAGCCATTTTTCAGTTTTGATGCCAAAATTTAGATTCTGATTCCAAATTTCTAATATCAGGTTCTCTCTCCCTCTTGCCACCTACTATTTGTATGGCCTTGCACAAGTTAATTTCTATGAGCCTCTGCTTCCTCAGATGTAATATTAGGATAAAGTCTACACTGCAAGTTGTTGTAAAGATTAGAAAGGATATGTATAAAAGCACAAGTGGAAAAGCTGGGACATAAATGTCCCTGGGGAGATTATCAGACTTCTGGCTACAGGGAACATAACAGAGTCATCTGAAAATAACCATTCATTCACTTATTGGTTAAATTGACCTAGCTTACTGGAAATTCCCATAAGTATTAATAAAACAAGAGCTACTTTAGTCAATAAAGTACTATGCTTTTCTCAAAACTCCAAGAATGTTAAATTTACTTAACTTTTTTTCAATTATCTGGGGATAACTAGAAGAGTAAAGCAAAGAAATGGAGGGTATACAGTTCTTTACATACCTAGAAGAAAAAAGAGAAAGTCTAGCTTTACTCTCCATAAATGAACATGTAGGACATGTTCAGGTTTCAAAAAAGATAGGCTACTACCTGCAAGTTAAATAGGTTTCAAAGGCAATTACTGTAAAAAACACTAAAGTTACCAGGATTAGTACTTTCAGTCAGATGATTTTTTCAATGAGCACTTTTAGTTATTTTTTGACACAGGCCAAAATAATTTTTTTAATGAAAAGAGTAATAGTGCCAAACAGAATAGTTTCTGTTGTCATTGACTTGGCATTGGAACTTTAAGTAGAAGAAAAACATCTTTGGTATGGTATGTATTCAACAGATGGCATTTGGGACTAAGTACCCTATACAAGGCAGTGAAGAATCTGCCTGCAATGAAGGAGATGCGGGTTCAATTCCTGGGTCAGGAAGACCTCCTGGAGAAGAAAATGGCAACCACTCCAGTATTCTTGCCTGGGAAATCTCATGGACAGAAAGCCTGGTGGGCTACAGTCCATGGGGTCATAAGAGTCAGACACAACCTAGCAACTAAACAGCAACCCAGCAAGGATATAAGAATATTCTGCATAAAGAAATAACTATTCCTCCTGCTGTTGAAGCCAAGTGGGAGCATGGCTTTAAAATGCCTGAAAAAGATTAACCTCTTAAGAAACCTGAAGTATTTGAAATGTTGCCCAAAATAGTTCAGAGAAATAAAGAGCAAAGTGATTAAGCTAAACACAATCACTAATCTGTGACAATCACAAATCAAAGAAAATAAAATTTCACCTGACGCAGGCGTTTATTAGATGTCCCTGGACTACTTTTCCTTAAGTTGCAAAATGCCTGCAGACCTTTCATCCAATCCTACGAAAAAGAATAACAGCATTTCAAAGAAATATACTATATAGTAGTTTATGCAGTTTCCAGTCATCAATTTGGGTTCTTCCTCAAAATTCAATAGTTCTTTCCTTCTCTACACTCAAGAGTATCCCGCACTTTAAATATATCTGTGCTCCAACAAAGTAAAAGAGTGACCAAAACAGTTATAATAATTCTGCAAAATACTGACTGTATTATTGCAGAATCTCTAAATTAATCCTAAGTGTCAATGAGTGATTGTTTAGTAGCCAAAAAATAAATATACATGTAGCTAAGCAGTTAAACTTGAGGCACCCTACGGCAGAATTTAACTTGATACATTTTGTGAAAGGAATGCTGACTGCAAAACCAACTGATAATGTGATGACTGATTTGATGACTAGTTTTCTAATCTTTACCTTAGACCATGAAACGTATAAGGGGATCTGGGTGATTTATAAGCCTTTCAAATATTAATGTTAGATATAAAATATTGCAGCCTAATATTAAAACTAAGTTACAGATATATTCTCAAATGTTTAATACCCTACTATGCTGGAGAAAAGAGAATAATTTTAGGTTATAAATATTTGGCATACATGTTTCTAGTAAGCTCTGTACTATTGCTTCACTCAGTTATGTCTTCAATGTGTTGGCTACTTCAGTGAATATGAATTCTGTCAATGTTTAGAGTATGTCTTTTAATGGGCAAATTTAAGACTAAATCAATTACCATAGCTTTCATAAAGAGAAGACAATAACCAGAGATCCTACAGATCACCAAAGTAACAAAAATTTGGAATACCGTGGCATTTTTGGACTTTAAGGGGTACATGAAAACACGAAATATGGAAAGAGTATAGATAAATAATAAGATGTTCTATTTATACATTATGTGAGACACCCAAAACATAATGAAATGTCATCAAGGTGTGTAACACATCTCCAGAAAGAGAGAACATGATAAAATAACTGAAAGACAGGATACTCAATAAGTTTCTTTCCTAACTCAATTTCTAACGATTAAAAAAAAAGTCAAAGTTACCAAAATATTATGAGCACTATTTTTGCAGATTAGGGATAAATACCCATGCTCAAACAGTAAAGAATCTGCCTGCAATGCAGGAGACCTGGGTTTAATCCCTGCATTGGGAAGATCCCCTGGAGAAGGTAATGAATACTCACCCCAGTATTGTTCCTGGAGAATCCCATGGACAGAGGGGCCTGGGGGGCTACAGTCCATGGGGTCACAAAGAGTCAGACTAATACTTTCACTTTTTTCACCCATGAAACAAGGTTTTATGTGTATTACAACCTAATAATGAGTATTCAATTGTGCTATTTTTTCCATGACATGAAAAATGATATGCAATTATGAGCCATAAAACACAATGGCTCACTCATCAAGTTTATTCTACAGCCAAACATATCTTCATAATTTATGAATCAGGAGCCCAAGCCAGGATCCAGAGTTTTAAGAGCATCTGTCTCATATCCAGAATTGGCAAATTATCTTCTTTTTTCAGTTAAAGTCACGTTCTTTCACCTCTAAACTACTTTCAGGTTCCTTCCATAGTGTATTAGCAGAAGAAAATACAGCCATATATCTATAAAATACCACTGAACACCCCAGAAATATTGTGGTTCAGAGAAATCAATGTATTTTTAAAAGATCTTTAAACATTTCTTCACATTACTTAAAATTTAATGAAAGTTTTAATAAAAGCACTGCACCTGGATCAATGGCTAATAATGAAAGAAAACATTATATCTAGACTTAGAAGAAAAATAGAAAAATTCCTCAAATTTTTCCTTGTGATGACTGAATTTCTATTTTCAGAAACAGAGTTCAACCAGTGAAGAACAGCCAACGCTTATTAGCAAAACTGACTGACTTACCTTTTTGAGTATACTGAGAATATCTACAACCTTTCTTCAGAGAAGATTTTAAATGAGCATTCTCAATTGAGTCGAACATCATAAGAGTATTTTAAGGTCAATTTAAAATGGAATTTTGCCAATAACCTTTCACTGTGGTTTTTTTTTTTTTTGCATTTCTTTCAAAAATTTTTTTATACATGAAAGTTCTTATTGCTAAAAATAAAAGATGATTAGAGTCCAGGCACCTTTTTTATTACCTTAGGTGCAATAGTTTTCTATTCTAGTTAAGAAAATATGGACTGAATAAAGGTTTATAGTAGTTGAAAAAACATTTAACTTACCTCTGCCTGTTCTGGAGTTTCTCCTGCAAAGTAGAAGATGTAATGTTCTTCACTAAAGTGCTGAACCACTATCTGGAAACAGTTTGGCCTTTAAAATACAAACAAAAAGTTAGTAGGAAGTTCAACAAAATGTACTGATTACAGCACTTATATCAACTTTAGAAAAAAAAATATAATTATGTAATTTATACAAAATTAACAATTCATTTAGAGAGATAATCCATTGTACTAGATTACTAAAAAGAATATGTCAGCTGCATATATTTTAGAAAGCTTTCTATCTGTAATACTGAAATCTATCGAAGTTTAAAAACATTTCAAAGTACTATGTAAATTATTTTAAAATAGAAAAGTTACAAGAAAATTGAAAACCTAAAACAAAATTGAAGCAGAAGTGCTAGAAGTGCATGGAGCTCATCTAAAGACTAAAACAAACAAAATGTTACTAAACTTGCAGCTTAAGGATGATACAGAATATACATTTCTACGTACTGTGGCTATCTCTCAGTAGATTATGGGTGATTTTAATTTTCTTCTTTATAACTTTATTAAAAAAATTTTTTAACAACTGGCCATTTTTCATGTTAAATGGAAACATCAACAAGCTTATTTTGCGGCTCAAATGACCTAATAGTAGTGTACAATAAATATTAGTTCTTATCTTCCTATAAGTATGTACTGTACTACATATAATTCACTTGACAAGTAAATACAATATTAGTAGTTTACATATTTTTTGAAGATGTGTTGTTTTTCCAATTAGATTTGAAAATTTAAAAGGGCCTTCAAACCTTTGAAATTCAATAAGTGTTATTTGTATTTCTTGCTTTAACCAAAGAAATATCTTAGACCTTGGTGTTAGAAGGTCATAGCAAAATACCCAGAGTACAAGCTTAACATATGGATTAGAGATAAAAAACCATGTCTTCAATGCTTTAAGAATACCATAAAACAGTGGAATATGTCAATTGAAAACTTCTGATTCTGAAAGTGGTTTGTACCGGATTAACCCTCCTGGATGGATAAAATATAAACCAAACAAAACACAACTGTATGAAGTCACTGGAGAACAAAGAGGTGGCTAAGACTTGAGGGACCAAGATATAATGAAGTGAGAATGACATTCTCCACAACTGTTCTTTTCAAGGTGATTGCCAGTTCCTAAACTGTTTAGGGCAGGAAGCTGAGGTGATAAGCAGAAAGCATCTAAGAGGCTAAAAAGCTAAGCGAGCACGTTCAGAGTTTCACAGAATTGGGAGAGACAAACGAGTTCTGGGCCTTTAAATGAGGAGGCTTTCTGTTGAGACCCAGGAAGGGCTACGCCTTCAGAATTGAGAGCTAGTCAGAGAGAAAACAGCCTTCACCAGTCCTTCCAGTTGATCCCTAGGCAGATCGGTATGAACTACCCCTACTCTAACTCATCCGGCAGAAGAACAGTCCTCTCTGGAGGCAATAACATTATGTATAGCTTCTACAGTTCATCACATACTATGTCCACTATTCAGTCAAACATACGTTGACATTAGAGGAATCAGGATCGAATGACTGAAAAGCTGAAAGAAAAACAAATGAGAAAGACCTACAAATCACACAGATGTTGAGGACAGATACAACTTTCAAATATTTTAATAGTAATTAAAAGGCTTTGAAAAAGATAATAGAAAAGAGAATTTTGTTACATAACTAGAAATATAAAAGACAACTCAAGTGGAAATTATAAAGTGGCAAATGTAATAAAATTAAGACCTCAACAAGTGCATTTTACTACAGAAGAATAGTGAATTGAAAGACAAATCAAAGAAAATATCCAACCTGAGGCACAGAAAGGAAAAAAATTATGAAAAGCATAGAGGAAACAGTTTCACAGACACATGGGACATAGTAAAAGGTATATAACATGTAATACAAATTCCAAAAGATTAAAGTGAATGTGGTAGTAGGACTGTTTAAAAAGATACTAACAAAGAATTTTTCAAAACTGACAAGAGACATCAGGTCTTAAGAATAAAGAAGCTCTACAAATATGATAAATTTTTTAAAATATTTTTTTACAGTAGGCACATATTGATTTAACTTTTGAAAATCTAAGATAAGGAAAGATCTCAAAGCTTCCAGAGAAAGATGAAATAAGTATACACATTGAAGGAAAAAAAAATATCCATAATCTCTAAGAGAAACAATTAGAATGACAAAATGTTGGAACGCAGAGACTCTTTACAAGGCTGAAAGAAAATAATCACCAAGCCTAAAATGTAATATCCATCAGAAACATCCCTCTTAAATAGATAAAGCAATAAATACTGCCACAAGAAAAGATTCAGCCTAAGAAAAGGTAAAGGTGCAAAACTCCCATGTAAATATTCAGTACAGCAATAACTCTCTGTATGACTGAAATGTCTTTCAACTTGTGCTTCTGAAACAGTTACTATTTAAAGTAAAGCAGTATTAAGAGTCAGACGTTTAATATAAAGAAACAGAGTATTAGAGACATCTCAATAATACTGGAAAAAACCTGGAAAAACCACACAGCCACACAACTAAAGCACCAGAGAAAAGAGCGGAATGGCAGTGCTGAGCAGCATTCCTACACCACAGGCTGGGTGTGCAGAGCAGTCATCCCTCCGCTGTGGGTGCCATGAACCTTCACATTAGACTCCACCCAAACGCTCAAGGTAAGTCAGTGTACTGGGCTCTGCTTATACAAAGCAAGAAATCTTCAGCGACTTAATCTATTTGATAACACAACACACACTGTATTCTCAGGATTTTCAGTAGCTACTGGAGGAAATGTTCACCTCTCCTTTGTCTGGTACTGCTTGCCACCTTTGCTCTCATGAAGGAAGTGGTTCTGTGAGAAAATCCCAGTACATACAAATACAAAGTAAGGCAGAGCAGCAAGACTGAGAGGAAGCCAGAGGTCTGACCCTACTACATCTGAAGGCCAGGTTTCCCATAGTGTTAAGTGAGGGGAAAAACCTTAAATCCTATCTTACCCAGGCCTCTTTTTTTTTTGGATAACTGTTTTCAAGAGATATTAAGAAGTGTTTGGGGCTGGGGGAAAGCAAGAGTATCAAGGTCAAATGAATTCATGAAATACTTCATAGTATTTTATGATGATTCACACAGTATTTCATGATGATTCATAGTATTTCATGTTGATCCACTCTTGATGATTCACAATACAAACATGGGCTACAACTTCAAAATGTCCCACTGTATGGAAAATTATTTGTTCAATTCAGCATCTCCCAAACCTATTTGAGCACTTAAAAGATGCACTGTTAAATTTCAAATAATACTAATGTGATCTCCAAATACAATTTGGACAAAATGACAAGCCTGTACGTTCTACAGGTATTTCTCTTGAAGCTTTCCCAACTTAAATAGGAAAAACTGAAGCTGCCTAGTAGAGATGCCATCCTGCAGCAGAAAATAGACTGTTAAAAATTTGCAGTAATTATCTTCAAACACGCCTGTGTGCCTTACTCAGCCGCCCAGTCATGTCCGACTGTTGCCATCCCCATGGATTGTTCACCCACCAGGCTCCCCTGTCCATGGGATTTTCAGGCAAGAATACTGGAGTAGATTGCCATTTCCTTCTCCAGGGGATCTTCCTGACCTAGGAGGCGAACCAGCATCTCTTGTGTCTCCTGCATTGAGAGGCAGATTCTTTACCACTGGCGCCACCTGGGAAGCCCCCATAGCAATACGTAATAAAACTGCTTGCTAAGTATACCCCAAAACACTCTAGAATGGATTCATAACAGATAGTCCATCAGTCCATCTTATAAGTGGTCAAATAGGTTTATTAATAATACTGATGGTGAAAGATAAAGAAAGGCTCTTGTTACAAAAATCTAGATGGAATTAAGTGCTGAATTTGCCTTGTGATGTTCAGGATTTACTTCTATTTATTTTCTTAAAAACTGTGACATTAATGTAAGAAAAACAGTTTTAATTTCAAATCTGAAATACTCTCTCCTCTTTTCTATTGAAATAATTCTTTTTATACTACAGTTGTCTCTCAACGTCAGCTTTCTTACGAATCAAGTTAATAGTACAACTGAGTGATCTAGTACTATCATATGCATTGAGTTAACCAAAAATGATAAAATAGGAGAAAGGTGACAAGAATCAAAGTCATTCAAAAGACTGACAGTAACTGCACTGCATACAGAGTAAGTCTTAATACAAGAGATCCATAGATTTCTATGTGATATAGTGGAAGTAGAATTTTATACATAAGTTAGTCTAAAAGAGAAAAACAAAAATTATCCTACAAAATAATTATGGCATTTTCAGATGATTTTCAGGATCTCAAAATTGGTTTGCTATGCTTTGAAATGATCTGAACATACTATTTTATTATTAAAACAATTCCAAAAAGATATAGGAAACCAATTTCTTACCTGCCAAAGAGACTATCATGAACAACATAGACAGAACACACGCTGAGATCTATTAATCCTTTTGGTTTTGTAGCTCGTTTTTCACTTTCAAAATAAATAAGTTGGGCATCACTGCCCTCTAAGATAAAATATAAATTTTTCCACCTTTTCCCCTTTCCTGTTAAAGAAAAAACAAATTATTTTCCCTTAGCCAAATAATGAACTACAAAATCACTGACAGTAAAATCATAAAAATGATCACTGCTTAAAAAAAGTCAAATATATTTCATATTTCAATTTTTATTCCCAAAGCTTCAATACCAATCCTTACAAAATGAGAAAATGTCTATAATCATATCTGTAGGAAAATATTTTGTTATATTCCTTGTTTTAATGAATCACAAGGTAAGTGACAAGGGTACCTTAACTGTATTCAGAAATTTCACTACAATACATCATTAAAATTCTCGCTTAGCATTATTTCTTTTCTGGTCATAAGGGAAAAAAATCTCTTCTGCTAGTCACGTACCCCTCATCCCCCACATTTCTTAATGCCAAACTGAGGCAAATATATATAATAGGGACCTCAATACCATCAATGGGATAAATGTCAATAAGAATTTTCGCTTAAAAAAAGTATGGATAGACAGGTGACCAAGAGACCAAGAATCAGATGTCAACTTGTTAAATTCATAGCTCAATGATAAGATTTATGCCCAATACTTTACAATGTTTAACAGCAAAATACTGAAGCTGAATCTTTAGTCTTAAAAGTTTACAATTACCTTTTTTTAGAAGATAACCTTTTTTAACAATATTTTTATAAAAGGCATCCTTTGTTTTACGACGAATTGTATTGTAAATTTCCTTGCCATCCACTGCATCATTGAGTACTTGTTCTTGATCCTGAATTTTCAAAAATATTAAAATTATTTCATGAATTCTTGATGGAAATGAAGTAAAATCTACTAAACTACCAAAAATTAATACCAAAATATAAAATAATGTAACATATATATTAAGAGATTCTGCTTTCCAAAGAAATTTTCAAAAAGGTGCCTTTCCCATTTCTCAAGAACCATTTTTTAAAATACAGTTTTTTGTGTGCTTTATAGCAACAATGTTTTGAAAACATGCATTTGTCCCAGCATTAACTGATAGATTTGGACCAATTTGAGCATAAAGCAAATTCATGTTTGCTTATGCACAATTACATCCTCGAGAAACTCTAAGTGAGTGCAGAAAGCTGCACTCAGCTGAAATGAGATGCCTAGGAATATGCAAAATACATCCCAAAAGCCTAACGGCCTCCCCAGATTCACTGAGTGTTATAAGCCATATCCATCCAGTCACATCTAGCGTCCTAATGTGTCTGATTTCAGAGAGTCCTCCCTGTACCACTTCCCATTGTTTACAACCCTTCTGATGGCCTCTTCCACAAGAAAACTTCAGGCCTTTTTCAAGGTAAAGTGCCTTATTTATTGTACTACTTGATGCGAAAGTAACTGCTGTTTTTGCGTTGTTGAACTTGGCCATCTGATTTTGGAATACATTCTTAAATAAATATGGTTATGTTATACATCATTTTAATGCATATTTCTCACTCTATGCTTTTTTGCTAGTGACTTATTACTTGCTGTTTAGTTTTTAGACTATGGAAATGATGTTAAGACAAAAAGCAAATTCGAGCGATTTTTTTTTTATTCGAGTTCAAATGCATCGTAAAGCAGCAGAGACAACTCGCAACATAAACAACACATTTGGCCCAGGAACATGAACATATATAGTGCAGTGGTGGTTCAAGAGGTTTTGCAAAGTAGGCCCTGAAGATGAAGAGCATAGTGGCCAGCCATCGTAAATCGACAACGACCAATTGAGAGCAATCATCAAAGCTGAATACAAGAGAAGTTGCTTAAGAACTCGTGTCAATCATTCTATGGTATTCAGCATTTGAAGCAAATTGGGAAAGGTGAAAAATCTCCATTAAGTGGGTGCCTCATAAACTGACCAAAACTCACAAAAATTCATTTTGAAGTGTCATCGTCTTCTTCTACACGACAATGAACCATTTCTCTATCAGACTGTGTTGTGCAACGAAAAGTGGATTTTATACAGACCATCAGCTCAGTGGCTGGAGTGAGAAGAAGCTCCAAAACACTTCCCAAGTCAAACTAGCATCAAAAAGAGGTTATGGTCAGTGTTTGGTTGTCTGCTGCTCGTCTGACCCATTACAGCTGTCTGTATCCTGGCAAAACCATTACATCTGAGAAGTATGCTCAGCAATTTGATGAGCTGCACCAGAAACTGCAATGCCTTCAGCTGGTTTTGGTCAACAGGAAGGGCCCAATTCTTCTCCACGAGAATGCCCAACTGCACATTTCACAACCAACACTTCAACAGTTGAACAAATTGGGCTATGAAGTTTTGCCTCATCCGCTATATTCACCTGACCTCTCGCCAAATGACTACCACTTCTTCAGGCACCTCTGACAACTTGTTGCAGGGACAACACTTCCACAACCAGTAGGATGCAGAAAATGCTTTCCAAGAGTTTGTTGAATCCCGAAGTATGGTTTTAATGCTACAGGAATAAACAAACTTATTTCTCAGTGGCAAAAATGTGTTGATTGTAATGGTTCCTACTTTGATTAATAAAGATGTATTTGAGCCTAGCTATGATGATTTAAAATTCATGGTCCAAACCCGTGATTACATCTGCCCCAACTTAAATATTTCTTACCCATTTAGCACATAGTTTCTTATCTCTGTGTGTCACTGATGACGCTTTTCAGTGTTGTACCCACAACTCCACCTTCCCCAAAATCCTGTGGGGTTTATTGCATGATTTTATGACACTGAACTATAGGAAGGCATGTATCTTAACTGCTAAGTCCCCACAACCCCCTATAATAAAAGAATTAGGATGTCAGGAAGAACATAAAGATAAAAGTGCCTTTATAATGATCTTCCCCAAAGAAGTCAATCTTCAATATTGCCATCTAGTCCAATGGACCTGATTTTAGTTTTTAGTTTCTTGTTTGAGCAGCTCTTATTACTTGCAAGAATTAATATTTTATGACTTTTTCTTAGAGATTCATGGATCCAGCCGAACATTTTATATCTAAGATATGTTATAGAATTTTCATGAATCCTATTTTTTCCTACATCTTGAAACACTCTGCTATTTTATCATCCCAGGAACCATTTCATCATGACTCAACAATTATACTCAAGTATGCTGAAGAGAATGGCAAACCACGGCAAACGGACCAAATCTAGCCCACTGCCTGTATCTGGACGTAGAGTTTTACTGGAACACAGCCATGGTCATTCTTTTACATACTGTGTGTTGCTGCTTCACTACAAAGGCAGAGTTTGAGTAACTGAGACAGAGACTGAATGGCCCACAAAATCTAATTATTTATTATCTGGTCCTGTACAGAAAAGGCTGCCAACCTTTGGCCTAGAGGCTGATGCAACAGTGAAATATATCAGCTCTATTGCATCACCTCTGGCACTTTTTACTGTGTTGCCAACTATTGCAGCATCTTCCAAAAAATATAGAAGGCCATCTTTGTTATCTGTTTATTAGTTTTCACTGAGTGCAGATAAAAATTCAGAATTCTTAATTTTCTGCTCATATTAGCAGAAAGAAAAAGCTGAAAAAGATGTTTCATAATTATAAAAGGAATCAGATGATGAATGCAAAGCAACATCAATACTCTGTGATCTACTGTGATGATAAAATTGATTTTGATAAGCTAAGTCTCAGACTGTAATTCTTGATATGGTAATATCCTTGATGAATTTTCTCAAACTCAAGAATGTGCTGAGTAAATGTTGTATTTCTAGAGAAACAAAGGAAACTCATTTACTGCACTCATTTAGTTAGTGATTCAATAGGAAGGACATCATGCAATAATTTGTGACAAGAAATCTAGATAAACCTGTTTCCTAACAGGAAATGAGGACTCTTAAAACTTTTATGATTTGCATCAAGATTTACTCAATATGGCTTATAAATGGACAAAGGTATTTTGTATTTAAAGGTTACTGGAAGGAAACATATAATGTAGAAATTTAAAAATTCACCATATTGATCATTCTAATTGATGCTTATAAACCTACACATAAAAATATATTACACTTAAAGAAGACTGTACTATCCAACAAAATTATGAAACAAAGTTTTCCAAAGTATTACAGCTGATGTTGCAAGAACAAGAAAGAATCAAACTAGAACACAGCTGAAATATATTTAAAATCTAGAATAAGTACTGCATTTTGACAGTAAAAATGTGAAAAGAACCAGAGGAATTTTATAAACAAAAACTATTATAAAAACTGTATCTGAAATTAGGGTTTACGAGATGGATATGATTCAGGTCTGTACGTGACAGTGGATAACAGTTAGCTGCCTTCTGTTTCAGGAACAAGCCTTTATAACCAAGGCAGTACAGAACAAAAATTGGGGTTTACTACATTTAAATTCTTATTAAATTTCTAATAAAGTTTTTTTTTGTACTAAACCTTCATTCTTACTCCTACAAATTATTCAGAAAATGACCAAGAAAATAAAAAATTTTAAAAGATACACTGCACCCAGATGATAGTGGTAACTACGTCCCTAGTTGTATAAATTTGTACTTATCAGTCTTTATCACAGTAGTGATAATATTTGCTCTTCAGAACAGAATGGGGCATACTTGTAGTCTACATGGTGGCTGTCAGTCAAGGCTGCCTGCACTGCAGGAGACCCAGGTTCGATCCCTGGGTGGGGAAGATCCCCTGAAGAAGGAAATGGCAACCCACTCCAGTATTCTTGCCTGGAGAATTCCATGCACAGAGAAGCCTGGCAGGCTACAGTCCTTGGGGTCACAAAGAGTCGGACACTACTGAGCGACTTTCACGCACTCATTTAAGACATTATAACACTGACATTTGGATTTAAATACCTGATTTCAGGATTAGATAAGTCTTTCCAATTTGACATAAAGGCTGGTCATCTGATCTACACCACCTACACTGGGAGACACTACAGGCAGGGACAGAACGTCACGTGCCAAGTTTTGCTAGGTTACTAACTGACAGGAGGGAAGGCTTCTCAGCCCCTCTTTCCGCAAAGTTCTGGAGAAGGAGTCTCACATTCCCCCCGAAGGCAAGCAGGCTGTCTGACAGGTGAGAGTCTAACACCACTGAAGCAAGCTTTGCACAGAGGTTAGGTGTGCAGGCCCCTGCTTTGGTTGTGAACCCTGCCTTTCTCAGGCAAAGGCTAAGAAAGCTCATTTGATAAATGAATTCAATAAGAGTTCTTTGAGTGCCAGTGTTGTAGTTCTTGAGCTATATCAATGAATAAATCAAAGATCCTTACCCTCAAGGAACTTATACTCCAATGATGGAAAGAGATAATAAACATAATGAGTAAGCAAACTGAATTGTATGTTAATAGGTGGTAAGTGCTCTACAGGGTAGGGCAAGCAGCAGCAATAAATAATATACAAAGCAAAAATCCTAATGCAGCAAAGATCCTGACATATTTTTGTTTTGAATAGAGAAGCCAGTGTGAGTGGAGATGAGTGAGCGAGAAAGATGGCAGAAGAGTTCAGAGGACCACGGGACACTGCACCAGGGCAGGGACTCTGGCTTTTATTCTGGATGAAATGTAGACCACCTCTTAGTATTAAACAGAGCCGTGAAATGCTCTGACACATTTTAAATGGATCCCTCTGACTGTGGTACAGTTTTAAAGGGGGGTTGGGGGCAGAAGTGGCTAGAAACAGAGATGACATTCTCTAATAATTAGAACCCTGCTGGGAAAGAAAGGTAAGTGTTGCATTTCTCAAACTTCTATTGGAACATACTTTTACTCCAGGCCCAAAATATTTCTGGTGATGGTTAAATTCTATATATATTTTGAAGGCAGAGATGGCATGATGATCCTGACAGTTTGGATAGAGAGTGTAAGAGACAAAAGAAGAGTCAAGGATGACTTGATGCCTTAAGTAATCTACTTACCTTCTCTGGTCCCAGTTTTCCTATCTGTAAAATTGCAGAATCAACCTCATCAAACTGTTTAAAAAGTCAAATAATACATGTAAGACAAGCTGTCTAAAACAGTGTCCAAAAGGCTCCTTGTTTCTTCTAGTCCACCAAGCAAAAGATCACTTGCTTTCTTTTTCACCGTCTTACCCTGAGTAGGGGTACGCAGGGTCACCTTAGGGGAAATGAGCTGATTCTGTTAGCTAATCACTTTTACAACAATAAAAAGACATTACTAGCCTTTGGGTTCTCTAACAGTTAGAATCCTTCTGGGAAGGACAGGTAAGTGTTATGATTCTCAAATTTTTCTGTAAACTACTTTTACTCTAGGCCCAAAATAATTGACTTCAAATAGCATTTAACGGTTTCTATGAAGTAATCAAATTGTTTGGTAATCAGCATCAGTTATTTCTGAAGTACTGAAAGCATTATAGGCACTTTTGTAAATGATAATACTTGGAGGTCTGTTCAGTTATGAAACAGTAACACAAGAATAAGGCACAATGTATATTTGAAGTAAGTTTTAAAACTATCTTATAATTTTAGTATAAGAGCTTATTAAGTGTTAAATGCTACTTATTTTTCTAACTATAAAAAATTTAGTTAGAAAATTCTAATAAGACAAACTTAGGACAGGAAAAATGTGTGCATGACTTGTGAGCAAATAAAATTTATTATTCAAACAGCCAATCTGAATTAGAATGCAGAATACAGCAACGGGAGTGGCAGGATCCATCATTTGTAGGTAAAGGCACCTTTGATCCAAAATAAAAAGATCCTAAGCAGTGGTATCTAGAAAGCACATACCATACTACGCAGAAAAACATTAGGCAAAGTCTGCCAGAATTGCCAACAAAAGCTGTGTGTGTGTGTGTGTGTTAGTCACTCAGTCGTATCTGACTCTCTGCGACCCCGTGGACTGCAGCCTCTGTCCAGGGGATTCTCCAGGCAAGGATACTGGAGTGGGTTGCCATGCCCTCCCCTCCAGGGATCTTTCCAACCCAGGGATCAAACCCGGGTCTCCTACATTGCAGGCAGATTCTTTATCATCTGAGCCACCAGAGAAGCCTCAACAAAAGTGGTACATAATTGCTAACTACAGATATTAGGAAGACGTCAACAAGGAAGTAAAACTTGAGATGTAAACTTGCAGTATTCAGAAAGGCAGAGGAAGAAACTGACATGGAGATCTCAACAAAGCACTGGAAACACAACACAAAACTGCCCTCATGAACTTTCCATCTATCAGGAAAGCATAAAGAAGTGAAGCAAGATTATATTAAAATGTAGCAAGATGATTCTTAAATTTATGTTAAGCATCAGAATAATGTTTCTCTCTTAATCAGCAATTAATAGTCAGCTATAACCATCAGAAACTAATTTGTTAGGAGGAAATAATGAGACACTCAAGACACTACAAATCACTGTGGAAGTTTAGTGGGGACCCAAAACCCCTCAACAATCCTTTTTTACATCCCGGGAAATACACTACCCCCATTTTCCACATAGGAAAATTCTTAATCATTTTTTGAAGTACCTTTTACTTACCCTGCTACAACCCTTTACCCACCACACTTTAGGAAGTATGGGCAAGATACAGAAGCTAATCAATCACCTAGGCATTGAGCAACTAGCATTCAGCAAGAGCTCTCGTTCAAGGCCAGTCCTTCTTATGTTCTGGATTTCAGTCACTCTTGCCTTCTCTAGGACCTTGTACATGGGGTACTGCCACTACCCCATCCCTCACCCACCCACGCACTTTCCTCAAGTACACACATGCTCAAAACTCTCTCACCATAAAAGTATGGGCAAATAAAGAAGCTACAAGTTTAAACCCCTTTTTTCCCTACATCATCTTCTAGCTACTATTTTTTATTTTCTTTACTTCCCAAGCTCACCTAGATAAACCTGGCTGTGATTTATCGTTGCTGTCTCCACCTTTGCCTCCAACAAACTCACTCCTTGACCCAGTGCAACTTGGCTTCTGTCCCCGCGATGCCTTCTACTCTCAAAAAGCCACCAAGACTTCCTAATTATCTAGAATCAACATAAAAACTAAGAGATTCTCTTACAAAGATTCACTTTCTGAAAGAATCTGAATAACCAGCAGTTTTAAATTTTATCCAATTTCAAATGCATGGATGTGTGCATAACCATAATCACCAAAAACAGCACTTTAAATTAAAAAGCTGATTACTGCAAAAAGAAAAACAACACTGACCTGCATGGGTACAGGTTCCTTAAGATAATACCCTTCAACAATTTGTTCTTTTCGATAGTGATCTATGATGTCCCCAATGCTGTTAAAATAAAAATTACTAACACTGACATAATTTGTCTCAAAAAAATTGCAAGTCTTAAAAATACACACAAACCTTGTTAGCAAGGATTATCTGTTTGCAAGTTTTTTTCCAAAGTAAATAGCCAGAATATATTAATAGAATATATGATCATTACAGTCACATTACTTTAGAAAATCAAGAATGTTCCTAATATTGATTTACAGGTCAGAAATACTTGACTCAGAGATTTCAATTTTCCACACACATACTCCAAGCATCACTATATGTGAAAAAAGGATTAAAAGTCCACTTTTTTTTGTTTTTTTTTTAAATAAAAATATCTGAAAGATTGAGCAAGAAATGACAGATAAATCACATTTATTTAGCAAGTAGTGAGTTCAGGTTAAACTTAAGAATTTTTATCATCCAAATAACTTATCAAGTTATCATTTACATATTCTGCTTTTATAATAATAAGATGGAGTCATAAGACAAATAGCAGGTGGAAGCAGAAACAAAAAAGGGAGGGAGGGAGGGAGGGAGGGAGGGAGGGAGGAAGGGAGGGAGGAAGAAAGGAGTAGAGAGGGAAGGGGGAACGAAGGAAGAGCAGGAGCTAATCTCATATGTAGGATTATAGCTACAGCAGGAAAGGCTTATTGATGATTTTGATAAAAATGTTCTAAAATATTAATATTTCAAGAATATTACCAATAAAAAACTGAAAATAAATGACATTATATAATGTATTTTAACACACACTTTAACATGAGTTTTTTTAAGTGTAAAAATATTTCTCTATAATCAGTTTGCCATTTTACTGTCCTATGTATGTAAAACCTAGAATTTTAAACTTTCCTTTAATATACTAGGGGAAAGGATATTTTAGTGACAGCTAGGCAACATTTCTCAAAACATCTTGTTAATTTATCACTTTATTTTTTCATGTTTTTCCTACTGATCCAATAAATTTATACACACATCAGTGTATATTTATATATAACTGGATATATATTCATCCCTTTTTTTCATAGTTCTTCCTACTGAAAGAATAGTTGAAACATATATTATCTTTTATCTTTGGAGACACATATGTGTGTATCTATATATATATATAGATACACACATATATATTTATCCCTGATGATAAAATATCTTTGCTATACCACAAAATTATTTCAAATTAAATATAAATAAAGTATAATGCTAAAAAGTAAAACAGAAGACCTGAAAAGATTAATAAAAAAAAGTACAAATGAATATGAACTAAATACCAGAGACAGCATTTAATATGATAGGGTGAGGGTAATAAGACAAGCAAAGAATTTTAAAGGTGAAAAGTACAAACCAACAATCACAAATAAATACCAGCTTGGGAACAAACTAATATTGTTGGATAACATTATTAGTAAGTCTTAGGTCATTCTTTAACTTTTTTTCCTATCAAAATGTCTCACTGATAAAAGACTAATATATTTTCTTTTCTTAGGTTAGATGTCCTGTTGTCCTACAGATAATGTATGAACTTACTAACAAATTTGCTGCAAATAAATTGTGCATTAATAATCAAAACATTATACACATTATTTTGGTAGAAATAAATTATTACTTTATATACATGTTTGACAATGTCTAAAAAAACCCTTGGACATGATGACTAAATTACATTAAATGTCTTATAATTTCAAATATTACAGTCAGAAATTTTTATATAATTTTGATTCTAATAAACTATTTTTTATGATATTTCAACTCTTTTCACCAAAAGTAAAAGATAACTATAAATTTCTCCCAACTTACCTGTTATAATATCGGCCTCCCATCATAAACTGATTGTTTGGTGTTGGACATATTTTAAACCGCTGAATATTTTCACTGGTCCGAAAATAAAGTGAATAGTCCCCAGGAGTATTATCTGACGGCCTCACGAGAAAACTGCAGACTTGACCAACTGTAAAAATCAATCTGTTAGTTTTATTCCCTAATTATCAAATTAAAAAAGAAAAAGAGTTAAGTAGTATAATTATAAATTACATTCAAAAGCATATACAAATTTTCACCAGCTACTTGTTTTATAATAAAAAATCTCAAGGCAATCATTTTTTGTATTTTCTGGTTCATGAGTCACAACCATCCATGATGTTACTTGTCTTTATTAAATAAAAATACAGGGCAGAAGTTTGCAGCAATGACTTCTGGTTAATAATATATATATCTGTCGTAACTTGGAAAGAATACTGTAACCACAGGTAGGAGGTACTGGCTAAAACTGCTGCACTGTTTGCGAATCCCATAAGAAGAAAAGTCAAAAAAAAGTTATAGTGAATTTTACTTTAGCATACTCTGTACTTAATACTTCTGATTAAACATTAGAAAGTCATAATTGTAATAAAATAGTAGGCAAAAACTTATAAAGGTAGATGAAAATGAAATATTTGTGTACCTAATCAAAATTAATACACATGCATTTCATTTAAAAGGCATGATCTGAAAAAATCATAAGCAGCAAATTATCATATATCAGATATTTCATATTAATTTTAGAGAAGCCTTTTTGACATCTACAATTAGCAATGACTCTTACCACTAAGATGCTTTCTACCTTTTCTCTGTTTAAGTCTTAATGACATAGGAAAGATCAGAACTTGATTGCTTTTGGGAAAGTACAATGAAAACTCAAAATATCAGATGTTTTTCTGTAAGTTATTAATAGTTCCAATCATCAAGCCAAGTCATTTACTACCAAGTAGTTTTATGCTCAATACAAAAAATAGGGACTATTACAAAATTGTGCATGCAAGTGCTTATGTGTACTTTTCAGGGCAGGAAATCACCAAAATCTTAAAAGAGCGCATGACCCAAAGAAAATAAAAACTAATTTAAGAAAATTACATTTAGTTCTTTTTTAATTTACATGTCTAAAACAACCGTGAGTGCCTCAGGTATTTGGTGCAATTCAAAATTCAGTAAATTCATTAAAATAAAATATTTTGGTGCCACTTTGAAAGCAGACAGGATGTGACTTTGGTTTAGCATTTCATCTGTTACATCATAATACCATATGGCATTATCATGTTATTTCTAACCTATATCCTCACAATATAATTGAATACTTAATAAAACTGCCTCAAATGTCTCAGAAGAACAAAATATTAATTAAATTAAATGTAATGATTCATGGCTTGAATAGTAACTCAGATTAACAGTTTTAAATAATCAGTGGTTTATTCCCTGTATACAGAAACTACTGAACTATGGTCTTTTTTTTTAAAGAATTAAGACTTATAAATTACAGATTATTACTTAAACTTGTCCAAAGTCCCTCCAAAGTATGGCTTACTGAAGACATATTTGGTAATTAAATTTCGTCTTAAGTTTTAGTTAGGATGAATGATGGAATACTTTTTCTTTTAAATAATAAACCCACAATACATTCAATTTTTATTTTGCCTATCTCTGTAACAGCAGTTTTATGAAATATTAAAACCACAATATTTTCAATAAGGCCCGAATGTATAACTCTACAAGTGTATAAAGATAAATTCAAGAATATTTGCTGCACTTAAACAACAAGAAAATGAAAACATAACATTGCTCTATAGGAGACTGATAATAAATTATGGTATTTATACAATGGAAAGTTTATGGTCATTAAAAAGAATGAAATTTTAAATATGCAGATATGGAATAATCTCCCCAAATATGTATTAAAATGAAAAAAGTGTGTTGCATATTCCTGTGAGAATGTGTAAGGAGGTACGTATAAAGGTGTATGTCACGGTAAGGAAGTCAGGCACACACAGACAGAAAACTTCTAGAAATACAGGGAAAAACTCATCTGGCATGGCTTCTAGGGAAGACTGTAGGGCCTGGTCCAGAAAGAAAACACACCGTGCACTGAATTTTATACTGCATGTATGTTCTCACCTAAAAAACACCAAAAATACCAATTTCTCTGTGCTGGGCAAGAAATTACAGTATGCACAAAAAATGAAATGAATGCTAAAAGCAAAACACATGATAAGTGTTTTATTCTTTTTAAATAACACTAGAAAAGTGAAGTGAATATACAAGTACCTGTCATTAGTAAATTATAAGCTTCTTGTTTGGAAATTTTCCCATGGAACCATCTTAAAAAGAGAATAAAATACGTAAATCAAAAAGTCTTTTTTGCTGTTAACTAAATCAAAACTAAATAACTAACACCACACAGTTAAGTTTAATTCAAGCTGACATAATGAAATAAATGTAATGCAATTGATCAGATGACCTCATTCCTTTGACATTACTATACTTTGTAAACATCTATAAGTTCAACAAAATACAGAAAATTATGGGCCGTCTAGTATGAAGTACAATTTCCATATTAATTACCAATACAAAAAACAGCACTTATTTTAATTCTGATTACGACAAATTATTATCATGCCCGTATTCTTTTTCTTCCATTCATTAGGAGTGGGGTGTGGTACAGGTAGAGCCCAGCAAAACTGCCAGAAGAAGATTAGTCCATTAGTTTCCTCACACTCCTCCCAGAGTGAATTTCCCTGAAAGCTCTCCCTTTTCAGTCAACGGGCTGGACTGCCACTTTACGGAAAGCCAGAAAATAAGATTGAGTGATGAGAAAGAGTAGATATCTGTTTGAACTAATGGCTTATCATATCAGATTGCTAGAATATTTTATATTCTGATACTTAAGACTTTAGAAAATGTTATAAAAGGCATTATAGCCAAAATATACTGCATATAATAACTCAAGTATTTAAATAAGTTACCTCAAAATAAAATGATATATCTGGGTTTAAAAAATTACTAGTAATTAAATTACATAAAATCTCTCATGTACCTGAAGGACTATTATCTGTCTTGCCAATTAACACATGTATGTTAATACCAAGCTGACAATATATTCTCAGGGTCTACAATTATTTTTAATCATGACTGAAAAGAACAAGTTGGAAGTAAAATACCATAAAATTAAGAGAGATAAATGCCCTAAAATCCAATGTTACAAGTTTAGAGGCTGTTCACCACTGTTTTATATTATCAACATTATTATTCGTCAGAGTATTAAAAAAAACTGGATTTTTATCTTTTCACATGAATAAAACGTTAAACATTTCAATTCTCTTTTTAATTTTATTCTAACAATTAACTCGCTAACTCAGATTCCCTGAAGCTTCCAATGCTAAATATGAATATTGTAAAACAAGTATACAATATCTGGAGAAGTCCAGGTTGCCCTAAAAGGCAGTAAAGTTTCATATTGCATTCAAGTATGGCCGAAATGACCATTTATTCCAATGCCAGAGCAAGATTTCCGTACTCTAGGGGACAGCTGATTAGATGACCTCGAAGGCCTATCCTACTCCTACAGCTAGAATAAAAGAGAAAAGGGGAATATAAAGGCGGGGGTGGGATGGGGTGGTGGGCAACAAATGGCGTTTATACAACAAATCGGTAATACCGCTTTCTGAAAGGATTAGATCAGAGTTTCCTCACTCAGGGATTTACTACCTATATGTAAAATCAATCTATTTCAAGCACATGGTTTGTACCAATAACAGAAAAATGGGTCTGTGATCTTAGGGAAGAACTCATTTTAGTGAGAAAAAGGAACATAAATATTGTATAACTATAAACAGAATGTAGAAAATATAGTAAAGCACTATGATAGGTACATGCTGAGGGAATTTTTGGAATAACAGAGCACCAATTCTATAGGGTGTACAAGGGAGAAGATAACAGAAGACTTGCTGGCAAGAGTGATAAATGAGTTAAGTCTCTGAGTAAGAACAGGCATACATACATGACCCCTGGAAAAACCATAGGCTTGACTAGACAGACCTTTGTTGACAAAGTAATGTCTCTGCTTTTTAATATGCTGTCTAGGTTGGTCATAACTTTCCTTCCAAGGAGCAAGCGTCTTTTAATTTCATGGCTGCAACCACCATCTGCAGTGATTTTAGAGCCCAGAAAAATAAAGTCTGACACTGTTTCCCCATCTAGTTGCCATGAGGTGATGGGATCAGATGCCATGACCCTAGTTTTCTGAATGTTGAGCTTAAAAGCCAACTTTTTCACTCTCCTCTTGCACTTTCATCAAGAGGCTCTTTAGTTCTTCTTTACTTTCTGCCATAAGGGTGGTGTCATCTGCATATCTGTAACCCAGCAATCTTGGTTCCAGCTTGTGCTTCCTCCAGCCCAGCGTTTCTCATTATATACTCTGCATATAAGTTAAATAAGCAGGGTGACAATATACAGCCTTGGCGTACTCCTTTTCCTATTGGAACCAGTCTGTTGTTCCATGTCCAGTTCTAACTGTTGCTTCCTGACCTGCATACAGATTTCTCAAGAGTCAGGTCAGGTGGTCTGGTATTCCTATCTCTTACAGAATTTTCCACAGTTTATTGTGATCCACACAGTCAAAGGCTTTGGCATGGTCAATAAAGCAGAAAGAGACATTTTTCTAAAATTGTCTTGCTTTTTCGATGATCCAGAGGATGTTGGCAATTTGATCTCTGGTTCCTCTGCCTTTTCTAAAACCAGCTTGAACATCTGGAAGTTCATAGTTCACGTATTGCTGAAGCCGGGCTTGGAGAGTTTTAAGCATCACTTTCCTTAGTGTGTGAGATGAGTGCAATTCTGCAGTAGTTTGAGTATTCTTTGGCATTGCGTTTCTTTGGGATTGGAATGAAAAATATTAAAAAGCAGAGACATTACTTTGTCAACAAAGATCTGTCTAGTCAAGGCTATGGTCTTTCCAGTGGTCATGTATGGATTTGAGAGTTGGACTATAAAGAAAGCTGAGTGCCGAAAAATTCATGCTTTTGAACTCTGGTGTTGGAGAAGACTCTCGAGAGTCCCTTGGACTGCAAGGAGATCCAACCAGTCCATCCTAGAGGAGATCAGTCCTGAGTGTTCACTGGAAGGACTGATGTTGAAGCTGAAACCAATACTTTGGCCACCTGATGCGAAGAGCTGACTCACTGGAAAAGACCCTGATGCTAGGAAAGACTGAGGGCAGAAGGAGAAGGGGACAACAGAGGATGAGATGGTTGGATGGCATCACTGACTCAATGGATATGGGTTTGGGTGGACTCCGGGAGTTGGTGATGGACAGGGAGGCCTGGCGTGCTGACGTTCACGGGGTCGCAAAGAGTCGGACATGACTGAGCGACTGAACTGAACTGCATAGGCATTAACCAATACAACAGAGGGGAATCTGGCCTAGGAAGTAGCTTGAGCAAAGGAGAAAAAACAATGATACACATTTGAAGATCTACAAGCTGGAGAGGAGGATATAAAACTAAAAATGACAAGAGATAAAACTTGTAAGGAAACAAGGGCTGTATCAGGAGAACTTTTCAGACTCTGCTAAGGTAGAAAATCAGACAAGAATTTTTAGTGAAAAAGTAATACAGTCAGATACATGTTTTAAGTGTTTTAGCTGTTGGAAGAAAGGATTTGAGGACACCAAAGTGTCAAGCAAAACCAATGGGGAGCTGATCATTACATCAAAGGAATAAAGCTAGTTATACCAACTGTTTAGTCTCAAAGAGCACTCCGGGATATTAATGAGGATGTTCTACTGCCAGTCAACACCTTAAGTTACAGGGAGCTGACAAATACATAAAATAAACCAATAATGCAAATTTATCTTATGCTAAATACCAAATGAGTAGAAAATTAAGAAGTTCAGAAAATGGAAAAATCACAATGATATTAAATTATAAAAAAAAGATTTCCCAATGCAAGTGGGAGTCACAGTTTACACTTAGAAAACTAGATACGGCCTTAGATATGTACTGGTATTTGATCTCTTTTTTTCCCTTTTTTAAAAAGAATCCATGGTATGATTTTAATAGAGACAAAAACCTACCTTTCTCGCTTCTCTTGGAAATCAGGAGGCTTTCATTAACACTAGGTTCCTAAACTTTGACACATTAGTGAGTGCACGCACCTCACCGCAGGCAAACATTTGCTAGTTTTGACTTCTTCTGTGTGTGTGCTCAGTCGTTTCAGTAGTGTCCGACTCTTTGCGACCCCATGGACTATAGCCCACTGGGCTCCTCTGTCCATGGGATTCTCCAGGCAAGAATACAGGAGTGGGTTGCCATTTCCTCCTCCAGGGGATCTTCCCAACCCAAGGATTAAACCCACGTTTCCTGAATTGCAGGCAGATTCTTTACCCACTGAGCCACCTGGGAAGCCACTGACTTCCTAGTCTTCCCTAATACAAAGAATGAATGTTTATTTCCATTTATCACATTTGCAGTGTATAAAAAATTAGAGTAGGGAAATACTGTAATAGAAATTACAATATGGAAATAGTTCCATGTACCTTAATTGCTATCAAAGAGGGAAAATAAGAGATTAAGATTATAGTAATTTGAGAAAAATGGGAATACATACACCTGACTCAGTTCATCTGCTTTCATTATCTGTATGCATCCTCTAACAATAATTAGAATTTGTAACTCCTCACATAGGTAGTGAGAAGACCTCAAACTAGTACAATAAACAAAGTACAGTCTCACTGATGGAGCCTACCAGCAGCTACATAGAACAATAAGGAAAATGAACTCAGAAAATATCTCATGCTTCACTTAAAGAAGAGTGGACACTAAATTAGATAACTGAAAGCACATTATTTGGCTTAATGTTTTCATGTTCTAATGGTTAGAACAGAATAAACAAACACTTGAGAAAGAAATCTTCAATGCTACCCACAACTGCCGACAGGAAGGTAAGAAAAAGTATTCCACTGAAAACACATTAGAAGATTAACTGTCAGTTAAAATAATATGAGTAAAACAGAATTAGGATTAAGAGGTAAGGTCTTTAAAGAAAACATATATACAAATAAATATTAAATGGGATGAGAAGGACACTTAAAAAGATCTTCAAGGACACTAATAAATTAGAGCACAGCTGAAACCCCATGTGGAATGATGCCCTGTAAGAGCAACTAATAAGGGAAGAATGTGGCAAGGAGTAAGTGTAGTAATACCTGGCCTTTGAATTAGCCCTTATAAGATACTTAAAATCTGCCTTAAAAAAATTATAAAAACAAAGTCCTTGCAGAATCTTATTAATATGGTAAAGAACCGTAATTCAAGGGAAAGTTCTCTGACTTTTAAAAAACAAAAACTGAACTATCAAGTACATAAAAGATATGGCAACAAAAAGAAATACTAAGAAGTAATCAACAAGAAAACAAAGTGTGAGAAATTATGATATTCATAATGTTACTAATGTACTGTTTACTGTTAATCAAAAAGTCGTTAGTTTGGTGATCTAAGAACTGTATGTAGGTATACGCCATCTTCATTATCACTAGGTCCTTAAGAAAATAGAAATCAATTCTTGAGTCAAATAAAAATAAATTTTTAAAACAGCTCAAAAAATATCACTTTTCTTCTAAAACATTTTTAGATCAAAGTTTTCCAATTAGTAATTGCACCGTATATTTTTTCCTTTTAATAATTAACACAAACTTACATTTTGCCTTCATGTGGATCTTCTTCCCGGCCCTAAAGGGGAAGACATTAAGACAGTATTTTATGTAACTATTAATATATTTTTTATAAAATTAATAAAATTGTACCTTCAAATGTATCTACACCCTGACCTTCATATCTATTTATGTATATACAGGAAAAGGTGTTTCTGTTTATGAAAAGTCTTTTCAAAACTCTTCCCCTTAGTCCTTCTCTCTGTGATTATTCTAATCCAGGCACTTTTCCTTCCTTTTCTTAAACTATTAACAGTAGCCCAACTAGTATAACTACCTCTGTGCCCCACCCCACTCCAATATGGATTCATCAGTTTCAACTTCAACTCTGCCCTGCATTAAGAAACATCAAACAAAACTAACAAATTTTAAAAACAAGACCTTTAATACTTCTCTACTGCCTACAATTCCTCACTTTACAACCAGAATCCTTTATCATATAACTCAAGGCTACGTTTTCTATCTCATTTCTCTTTTGGTATCTATATACCGTAACCATGGTATACAGAGGCACATAAACTGCCTTTTTGCTAATCTACATTCCCCACCACTGTAGCCTGTTCTTTTTTACTTAGAATGCCCTTTCCACTCACTACTTCCCTAGGTATTTGTTAAAACCTAAACTGTGTATGCAGGATCTCTCAAACACAGTGCCTACTCTATAAACTGCGTCCCTAAAACATATATGAACTTTTACTCTGAATAGCAAAGACATCTTTCTTTTATAATCTCTTGAACTTTACCTAACTCTATTAGATACTGCTATAATAACTGGGTGATATTAATTTCATTATCGTGGCTATAAGCATCTTAAGATCTCAGTCATTCTTTGTTAATACCAACTACCACCAAACCACTAGCACAAAGCTGGGCATATAATTCTCACTGAGTATCTGTTGAATTGTAGTCCTAATACCCAGCCAGTATACTGTGGCATCAAGTTTCCATTGAATAATAAAGGTAAGAATAGAAAAATGGACTAAGTATATGTAGATTTATTAATACTTCTCTCAATTTGGTCCTCACTCAAATATCTAACCAAAGTAAAATCAAACACTTGCAATTTGCCTTCTATACTACAAAACACTTAAAAAAAAAAAAAAAGACATAAAAACAAAATGCATTATTTTCTTACCCAGAGTTAATTATATGAGATTTTTACAGAATAAATTTATTTTACAATGTAATGGGATACAAAGTTAACATGGTGCTATGGAAACACAGGAGGAAACAATTTAGCCTCAGAAAGTATAAATCTCTCTAAAAGAAAAGGCAACATCTGAGCTGAACTGAGAGACAATCAGATTTCAGACATCAATCCAGCAGGGTAGGAGTGTCAAGGAAGATGGAAGACAACCGGCACAGAGACAGCCATTCATTCAGCAAACACTGACGGACTGCCTCTACTTCAAGGCATTATTCTGGGCAATGGCGACACATCACTGAGTCATAGACAAAAACCCTCAGAGAGCTTATACTCTAGAATTAAGACATAACAGAACAAATGTGTTTGGAGAATGGTAATTAAAATTAGAATGTCATAGTGGAGAATCTCTCAAAGCTAACCACCAAACCACCTGTCTGAAATCTAGATAATCACCAAATGGCTCTTTAACCTTCAAGGATTAACTATGTTCCAATAAAGACCATTATGAAAAATCATTCTAAATATTGGAGAAAAACTGTAATTTTAATTTGGTATTATTCCACTACTAATTCAAAGTATGACCATATTCATTTTTTTTTGACCATATTCATTTTTAACAGCCACATCACATCGTTAACTCATATTGGACTGTTAACTTGTTCTTTTTTTCTTTCCTTTTATGTTAGGTCATGTCTCCTTATCTCAAACAGCATTTTTTTTTTTTCTGTATTCATCAGGTAATTTTCACTTACCCTTATTAAAATTTGTCTTGTTAAATTTGACCCAGAGTCCCAAGAGCTTGAAAGAAAAGTTTAACTATACTTCAATTCCTTTAAATAATCAGCATAATGAGGGAGGTGTGTTACAACAGGAAGAAAATTCAACATACTATGAAGCAACTTTTTAGTAAAACTAACCTAGATAGTAAGATTCTTCAGTTTGAACATGCCTTGCCCATAGAGAATAAATACCTCTTCTGCTGTAGAAGACAGAATTCTAATCTAGGCCTTAGTTCTAATCCCAACTCTTCTACCTAAGTAACGATGTGACTATGAGTATGGAACATATCATACCATTTCCTCAACTCTTCCCACTTTTCCTCAGCATGTTTTACTTCTACATATCAAGATATGGCTGCCAGAATAGGCAGACAAGAGAATTAATAGCAAAGAAAAATATTCTCCACTGCCGTCCTCCTGGAACAATAATCAGAGCACAGGTTTCAGCATATTACCAGGTTCAAGGCATAATTTAAAAGTAGTCACTCTGAAGGTTGTGAAAAGAATAACAGAAAACCATTCCATCCTGCTGGACAAATCCAAATGATGAATTCCTAAACTATAACACAACGTTTAATATGTTTCGGTGATACTGAATACTGTATTTGAAGTGCAAACGCTGCTTGAATGCTGATCTGTATCTAAAAATGCATACGTAGAATTATTTATACTGTGTCTAAGACTGCTGATAATGTACTTTGTGATGACACTGAAAACAAGCCAAATATTCAAAATATAAAACCATGTGATAATATATGTGTAATGTAACTAAATTTCTCCAAGGTTACTAGAAAATTATACATATATTTGGGAGCTAAAGAATCTGAAAGCAAACATGTGCAACCACTTGAGATTCCACAGTCAGTCTGACATAACATCATTTATGAGGAAGACCAAGAAGACTTTTAAAAAGGGATACAAACAAGCACAAACGTTAATACACTTTTAATTCTTAAAAACTCATGAAAACTTTCCGAAAATTGGCAGCTACAGAATGATGTGGTTAACTCGGATGTGCTCTTTACAAATAAATAGCATTTACCAACAGCAAATGCATTTTAATAAAAAATTACTTGCACTTATGAATTAAGGTTTTTCATAAAAAATATATTTATAGCTGATTTCCATGATTATGGGCAAGTTTCAAATTTAAGAAGTATTTAAAGTTTTAAGAAGGAGAAAAAAAAAATAAAACTTACCACCTCTTCTACTAAGTCTTCAACAATAAGACCTTGTTCATCTGTTCTTAGATTTGTAACCCACATCCATCCATCTTCTAATTCGTTATGAACAATGAACATATCTCCTTTTAAGAAACTGAAAATAGTAATTATGAAGTTATCAAAATTAAATAAAATCTTGAAACATGGAAATTTATGTGATCATATACCACATCACAGAGATAATACTATAAAAATGCAAGGGGTTAAAGTCAAATACCCTAGATTTTTGTTCTGTTTCTGTCATCATTTATATGTAAAACTTTGAAGATACTTATAAATCTGAATCTTAATTTCATCATGTGTAAAATGGGTTTAATAATGGTAACTGTACTACCTATATCACTGGATTATTACTAGACTCAAACTGGAATTTATGTGGACAGTAAGTATACATATATTACAGCTTTGGGGTTGTAACTACAAGAAAAGTGAACTTTAAAATTTAAGTTTCAATGTTATTACTCTTTCAAAAGTAATTTAAACTAAAATTATAAACATAAACTCATTCCACATACACAAGTTACTTTATAAAAAGTTTATTTTAAATAAGCATAATTAGCCTTACCACACAGATGCTTATGAAACTAACATTTCTCTCATTTAAAAAAAAAAACAATAGGGTTTATTTAATTCACTCAGCTATCCACGGTACAACAAGTACAGCACTCTTTCTCCAAAAGTGGAACCAAGGGGTATGAAAATGCATGCATGTTTTTTCTGTCATCAATATCCAAGAGAAGGGATATATATACACACAGACAATATAGTTTATTTTCATTGCTGTCTAGATGTTTTCAATCTTTACCCAATCACAGAACTAAAAAATTGTTAATGTATTTCATCAATATAAAACCCATTAAGAATTCCTTGAACTTTTCCTTTTAGGTTTGAACAAATGCTTTTGAGTGATTAAGATTTTAAGATTGACTGGATGCTACCACTAACCCTGTATCTGTATCATTTATCTGTCATATATATGTATTTATTTAATCAATTTTCCTTTCAGTCTTAATATTCAAACCAAATATTCAAACTTAATAAATAAACCGAAGTTGTAGTGTAAATCTCTTCTAGTGTCTTTGAAAACTTTGTTTTTCTCTAGACTATCTGAAGCTTCATTGTTACTTGGAGTAGTTCAAGAATAAAAACTGTTCATCACACTTGAAATACACTCTTTTTGAATAGCACAGAATACTGCATTCTACCTTGATTCTAAAGGTCTTAACAGTGACCAATATTTTACTACCTGAAAGGTGGCAGACATAACCACTTAGCCAAATAAATTTCCAGAACCAAATAGATACATTAAGAAAATAATTATGAGTAAGTAAAAAGGGAGTGCCTATGGATAAGAAGTCAAAGAGAAATGAGAAATGTCATGTTTCATTTTTGGTCAAATGCAGTCATAAGAGTTTTTTAAGTTGTTTACTTCTTTTATTGCTGTTATACTACCAAGTTTTTATGATGTAAAAAAAAAGAAAAAGAAAATAAAAAGCTTACTAGCACCTAGTAAGATAACAAAACATAATCCTAAGATTCATTATGTATTATTTTGCATTTTTCTTCAAAACAGGTTAAAGTGCTTTATTAAATTTTATTAATCTTCAAATGTTTTTCCTTAAAAAAAAAAACACTTCTCAGTTATTAGTGTGTGTTAGTTGCTCAGTCATGTCCGACTCTTTGCAACCCTATGGAGCCCACCAGGCTCCTCTGTTCATGGGATTTTTCAGGCAAGAATATTGGAGTGGGTTGCCATTTCCTTCTCCATGAGATCTTGCCAATGAAAGAATCAAACCCAGAACTCCGCACGGCAGGCAAACTCTTTACTGTCTGAGCCACCAAGGAAGCCCTCTCAGGTATATGCAAATTTACGACGACTCACAACTGCATACATATTAATGTCATTCTAATTTGTGTTTCAATTTTCACCTTCCTAGGTCAGAAGTATTCAACTTTTGGAAGGTCTCTCAGGACCCATTTACACTTTTAGAAATTGATACCCTGACAGGTTTTCTCATTCATTCATTTACATGAATTATCTATCTATTGGGGTTTAACATATCAGAGTTCAAAATGTAAATATTTAAAAATATTTATTAACTCCTTTAAAATAGTAACATACCCCATTATCATGATAATACAAAAAGTAATTATAATTTTTACAAGTTCAGTAAGATTATTATTGTTTGCATTCTTCCACATGTCTGGCTTAACTGAAAACTACTGGATTCTCCTGATTCTGTATTCAGTCTTTGCTATATAGTTTTTTTGCTTATAGTATATGAGGAAAATCTGGCTTTACACAAATATGTAGCTGTGAAAGGAATGAGTATATTAATAGCCTTTCAGATAACTATAGATATTCTACGACATTAAACCTAAAACTTGACAGTACTACTTTCTTGGAGGTTGGTTACAATGTGGAATCTTAAACTATGCATCTATGAACTTCCTGTCTGTTCCACTCCAATAACATCCTTTGAGTATATCTTTTGCCCAGCCATAATTTGGTGACACCATGCATTGATCACTTAGAAAATACTGTTTCACTGAGCTATGCAGATCCATCCAGATATAAATATGTTATACAGTATCAAAACATTACATTCTTCAATATCACCACCAATCTTGTCAGAAAAGTCATGAAGTATCTAGGAACCTGTCAAACTCCTGATGGCAAATATAGGGTATCCAAAATTCTCATTTTTCCCTGAAAGCTCAAATTGTCATTGGCGACAAATACTGTCAGTTATTCCTCTTAAAAAAAGGTCAGATACTCAAGTCTGAATAACTATAATTTGCCTGTCAGTTATTCTCTCAAGTGAAAATGGTGTGCACAAAAAAGGGAGCCAGTTCAGCTTTCAATGTACCTCTTTTCCTCAAAACACTGAACTCTGGTATACAGCAGAGGTGTTCTCTGAATAATATGTCCCATCTCATCACAAAGACATTAAAAAGATATGTAGCCATGGGTGAGATTTAGAAAATAAATATGCTTTCGTATCTCACCAAGAACAGTCATAAGTGAAACCAGTGATTTTGTTTAACCGCAAGTGTGGGGCAGTGAAAAACACTATATATTTGTTACACTGTCTTGATTCATGCTAAGGTACCAACAGTTTTACTGTCTTTGGCTTTTAGTACCTTCCAAAAGTTATCACTACATTTTAAATGCTGCTGTTCATTTCCATGAGAAGCTTTAACTCAGGGCCAGTAATTATCCAAAGTAGCATTAACATTTTACAAGTAAGAAACAAATCAGAAAGCTGGTAGCTTACAGAAAGATACAGATAATTTAATAATTGATTATCAAATTATGTAGTGAATTTGATAATTATCAATTCATATAATAAATCAAATTCTACAGATATAATAAAAACAAACTGTAAATTATATAATAAAAAACCAAAATTTACTATGTTCTATAGTTTTATACCATTAATAACAATTAAAATTATTCACTCATAATGTAAAATAAAAATTAAATCATCACTTGAGTAACATTTACAGATGAGGCATAAATGTCATGTAATAAAAATTAAAACAGAGTACCGAATATACTAGAACTCTCCTTACTTTGTAAGATAGTCTAATAAAGCTAAGCTATTTCTCCTGTCATCTTCACTGTGGCTTCTCTGATCCAAATCCACAGTTTGAACAGATAAGCCAACACAGGGAGACAGGAACAGTGGACTTTAATATTAAAGACATGCTTTGCTGGATGCTATTTCCTCAATTTCCAAAACTTTCCTAGTCCAAGAGCTACAAATTTTCAAAGTCTGTTTCAAATGCCTATAAATGAAAATATATTATAAAATACCTTATTTCATCAGTGTCTGGTACTTTTGTGTAAGGGAGAATGGCTCGGACACGCCTTCTATCTTCTACTGGCTAGAAACCATAAAAAAATTGGATTTACAGAAGAAAACTTTTCTATGTCAAATTGGATATGCCCACATAAAAAGTCAATAAAAATCCACATTATAGAATCCTAGGATCAAACTATTTTTTGCTGGGGCTCTAAAAACCCAAATCCTAGAAATGCTCATCTTGTGGTGTTTTTGTTTTTACAAAAATTCTTTTAACAGTATAACCAATATGTTTTTAATCAGGTATTATGAGTTATCACTTAATTTTAAATAAACTCCAGAACATATAAAGTAAGCTTTCTCCAATGATGCATAAGACATTTCAGAATCTCAGAACAACTTCAGCATTAGTACTATGATATCAGTAATTACTCCTTACTAAGAAATATTTGTTAGGGTATCATCATACAGTATGATAACAAATCTAGTAAATACAAAGTAAAATCACTCGTTTTTAAAAGAGGTTGCCAATTTTGCTCTGACACTACAACCAGAATTAAATCTTGGATTATATTATAATAAACATCACGAGACACTGAACAAGAGCTAATCCTATTAGTAAAGTGAAATAATAAAGTTTTGAAAGACATTTCACTTGCCTCTGGTGGTGCAACTGGATAAAGCAGTTTTTCTCCTTTAAGCAAACAGGAAACATGACTGTAATAACCTATTAAGTCTGACAAAGAAGAAAAACGTCTTCCCCCAATGTAGTAATCTCCACACATAGCAATAATCCTGTTTGTACAGGAAAAAAAATACAATATAAGTAAAACCTTTATAGTCAATTTAAGACCAAGTTCCATAGAAATTAGAAACTGTAATTCTCATACTTTTCCTTTACCTACATACCTGTATTAAAATACCACTTATTAATACCTTCACCATATGCAAATTACTTGAGGCTATTTCTTTTTGAAAAGATATATGCATACATTTGAAATGAAATACATATCTGACTTATAAACCTCAATTACTTAATTCATTAAAATATTTATAAATTCATCCTCAGACACCTCTCCTTACTTTCCACATTTAAGACAAAAGAGCAATTTTAATAATTTTCTTAGGCTAGAAAAGTAGCTTACAGAGCTCTTGAAATATTCTGAGTATAATAATTTCACATCCCATGTGTGATGATAGTACTTTTAAAGTCTATTTTAAAATCTAAAAATTAAGGGTACACAAACACTTTATCATTTAACTTTACAGGCACTAGGTGATCTTTTTCAACATCTCCCATAAAAATGAAATCAAAGACAATACTATATGTAAATATATTGATACAGACTTTTTCAGCGTACTTGAAAATCCAGATATCTGTTTAAATGAATGAATGTCTGGAAAGAGTTTCAGAACAGAAAAGGTAAAATGAAGTAAAGGGCACTTTTAAAACACAGTTTCTGCATTTTCTATTACTCAGTGATCTGAAAGTATACATTTCCTTTATTTCTGCTTTACCAAAGTTTCCTTATAATTCTTTGTACTTTAAAAGCAGTAACTATGATCAGCACAAAAAAAGTCCAATAATACTGTTTTTAAACAAAAATGTAATGCATTAATAGTATCTATTCTAAAACACTTATTAAATCATTTAATTGAAAACACATTTATCCATTATTTAAATGTCACTAAAGAAGGTATATTTATGAATACTACAGCCAAACAGCTATAGGACGTAGCCTCATAACAGGAATAAAGACTTACCTAAAATGGTTGACAACGTTCGTCTGGCTGAGAAAGGAAAGTACAAAGGACCCTGGCCTCCGATCACTCTCTCTTATAAGGTAACTGCCGGACTTCCCTGCCTGCCTGAGGCGTTCTTCTGCCATAGTTCTATCAAGTTTTCCATGATACCACCTAAGAAAGAAAGTTAAAACATTAGAATAAAAACAAAAACCATAAAATTACTATTGGTAGTTGAAAAACATACGAAAGACTTTGCATACCTACATGTAACAAACATTTACATTTTACTCTGAAACATTCATTCCAATTTTAACTCAATTATTTTTAATTTCCTAGTCTCTCAAAAATAATGAACTCATTTACTCATTTTTTAATCTGTTCTATAAGCTCAGGCTTAACCAAACACCTCACATATTCACCTCTTCTATTTCTGCCCATCTCTCGAACCCTCAGGACCGTCTATCTGTTCAAGATACAAACACTTCTTACAGTCAAAAGCCTAATTAGAAAAATAAGAGTAAGATGAACAAATGGAAACGATACTGTCTAAAGGCTACTATTCTCATTTTCCATTTCAGTATGAAGCTGGTTATTCCCTTTGTCTTAGGATGATCCACTCCATAACCACACATTTGAACTCTTCAAACTTAACAGACAGAAGATAAATAATACCTTTGTCTCTTATTTTCCTGCTCTCAATTTAACTATCTTCTACCTACCATACTACTAGATGATCTGCTTAAATGAATGGCTATAACCCTAGCATCATCCACACTACCAATCTATGCCTATAAAAGCCACATGGATTGATATAAACAAACTGGAATTTTCATATGGCCATAGTAACAAATCTACAAAGTAACTGTTCTAAAGTGTTTTTACACTTTCACTATATTAGTCATCCAATTTATCCTTCTTGGTACTGACAGTCTAACTTGAAACATTGAGAGGAAAACAATAAACATTTACATTAACAATACATTGACATACACATTATGTAGCCATAAATTGACAGTCAAAACTATTATAGTACTATGATTGTTTCTGTAAGCTTGATGTAGTGAAAGTTTACTATTCTTGACTTCTTAGTTTATTAAAAAAGAAAACACTAAAAACTTCTCACAAGAATTATTTTTAATTTTCTTCTAAAACCCAACCTATTTATTTGAAAATCTGTGTATAAGATAAATAAAATAATGAAAAAACAGTCATGGAGCTTCACTGTAACTTAACAGGAAAAGTACAATTGTAAACCATTAGTATTAGAGGAAGAACAACAACAAACACTGCATTCCTCTAAAATCCTAGTCTTTACTTCAACCATTCTTTGAGGCTACTGACAAGTAAATTTAACTATTAAGATCTGTGTTTTTTAAAGTCTAATAGGAAAAGCTTGGATCAATGATCATTTAAAGCTCTTTGAAATGCTAAATTACAGATGATCAGAACAAAATTTTGAAATTCCAGTCTCACAGTGTATCTAGCTGTGAAAATATATGGTTCAACTTTGGAATATCAAACAGATACATTCCTTATTACCTAAAGTAGTGGAGTTAACACAGAGAGCAGATTTACACATTCAACAAAGACAAAATTAAGGACAGTTTTAAACAAAGTATTTTTGTGTACTTGGTATTTGTTAAATTTCTGTTGTGTTTTAAGGAAAACGTCAAAATTAAAAGATTTTTTTAAATCTCATTTTGTGAGCTCACTGTAAGATGATACATGGAGGTGATTTTCAGTTTTTACATCTATGTTCTTTCTGTAAGATTCTGGCATTTGAACAGGTATTCAGTTCAAGACAAAGACTTAAAACTAAATAAACAACTTTTGTTTCCTGATTATTAGCAAGTCCCTTTATGCAAAAGACTTTAAGTTTTGAACACATTAGGTAAAACATGTCAATTCTTGATTACGACTATAACAAAATTATAGGTATATGAGCATATATATAGTTGAATGTGATTCTCAAAAGTGTTCAAACATTCCACTGATACAAGTCTCTGTTCAAGGAAAAAAACTGAATGGTCTTACTCAGAAAACTTAGAATTTCTTGATCTATGTTCACTTCAAATTAGCAAGATGAATCATACTAACAAGAATATTTTAACTGCATCTGCACAGATAAGATGGTTGCAATGACACCTCCTAAATGTCTTCAAAAGAGATTATTAAATGGACTGGTGAGACTAGGACTTTACCAGAAACCTCCATAATCATAGTTAAGTCTCCACACTTTGTACCTCATTACCATCACTTGTAAAAAGGGGGGAAATAATTTTCATCTCAGCCTCAAAATATATTAAATATTTGTCCTAAACTTCTTCAAAGAAATATGTAAAAATGAAAAAGCACTATCACAGGCTGTATAGGCACAGAATAACCAGTAGCTTCACAGAAGGTTGCACAGTATTATAAATAAATACATACAAAATTTGATACATACAGATTATAAACAATATACATAGACTACAAGACTAAATCAACGTCATCAATGAAAATCTTAAATTTTATACTACGGCGTAACTGAATGCTTAATTTGTGGATCACCTAAGTCTCAGTTATCTTCCTATTTTCCAGTCTTGTTTACTTTCCATCTAATTTTGGGAAGAGGACAGGAAATACCAATCTTCGTTTCTGCTAAAATACTGATTTTAAGAGGAAATTTCTTTTCCCAAAATATCTCTTTGAACTTTACAAATCACACATATTAATTGACACTGGAATACTCCCATTTCTCCTGGCAATTCTAGACTTCTAGAAGCCCTCAAATAGCCTAATTCCACCCCAAAGTAGATATATTTTTTGGAGGGATAGCAAGGACAATATGCATTTGAGATGATGTGACTTAAATTTGCCTAATACTTTAATAGTAAAATATCTAATGTCCTCCTATTTAAAAGTAAGTTATACCTCTCTCATGTTCTGTCTCTCTTTTAAGGAAGATCTGAAAAAAGAAACAGCAGGAAATTTAAGAAGTAAATATATTCTTCTCAGCTAGTTTTGCAATTTTTTGTTAAGAAACTTACAAGCAGACATAGCAGACACTACACAGTCACTGTATCTAAGCTAAAACACCCGAGATGAAACATATTAAAGAAGTTAACAAGAAAAGACAAGTTGGGCAAGCTATAGGATCATCTTATTTCTAAATCTAGAATCACATAAATGTTTTTATAAACACATGTTTTATACTGGTGCAGTATGTTTAAGGGACTTTGGAGAGGCTAATCAGGTAGAATAATAAAGAAATTTATACAGTAAGAAAGCAACCTGGTGTGAATATAGACAGACACTTAACTCAAACTACGTATTTAAAACTAACCTGACAATACTAAATGGAAACTGTCTACTACAATAGAAAACAATTAAAATAGTACTATCAACAAACATCCTTTGTCTAAAAAGGAAACTAAACTGAAGTTCCTAGCAGATCACTTTTACTTTCTGCTATGCTATTCCTCCTAGTTATGTTGCTGACAGACACCAAAGTTCTCAGAGAGAGACATATATGCTGAAATCTAACTGCCAAAAAATTTCTTATCACCTGAATCACCTGGAACTCTGTGCCTGATCATATCATGAACTGAAGTTTTTCTGTAACTCTCAAAGATGGGTTAATCAGATTTTCTCACACATGCTGTCCTCTCTGAAATTAAATTGGTTATTTCAGACTGGTAAGACATACTAAAAACATATGCTAAAACTACTATAAACTTCCTGCAACTTCCATTTCCTCTTAACAAACACACTTCTTACAGTTGTACAGTGTAAGCTGGTGGTTAACAAAAAAAAAAAAAAAAATGGACTTTTTAAAGAGGAAAGTAAAGATACCTTACAGTAAACGATTTTATTCAGTCTTTTTTTTCCCCATATCACTATGCAGACAGACTAAAATCTGGTCACTAGTAATTCACCTGAACAATCACTAGACTAAGTCTAAGAGGTGTAGAACCCTTAGACCAACTACAGTAAAATTAATATTCATGTGTATGTTGAACCTCTTAAGTATACTTGTATGCTGAGGCAAGTAAGCAGTATACGTGTGTGTGTGTCTCTATGCATCTAGTTGTATATCTCAGATGAAACTAGCTCATGAAAAGAGTAGAAATTCTATTTCCTTTTGCCACAGGTGACATATTTACAGGGTTTTGAACCTGGAGATTTATGTTCTGGAGGAGTATTTTTAAGAAAACAGTACTATTATATATTTACAAATTCAGTTTACTGACAGACTGATCCTACTAAAGGTAGGACCAAATAACATGATGCTTATGCAATCAAAAATTTTCAGTGAAGTGCACTCAACCAAGATAGTCTCATTCTCACTAACCTAACTCCTATCACCCCCCAAAAAAGATAATGAAAGGTAGAGAGAGCCACACTATCTCCAAAAATGCTGTACACTTATCAAACATGTTAAAGAAATTTTTTAAAAAGTAACAAAAAAAGGAAAACCATAATACTTACTAGCAGGAGTCTAACAGTTCCCACCTCACATCTTCCAGCTATTCTATCTGTGAAATTTCATTTATCAAAAAACTACCATTTTTTACAGTTTAGTTTTTCTTAGAAGAATTTTTTTTTTTTTTAGTTTTTTTAGAACAATTATAATTCATGCCAGTAACTAAGAACATGAAAAAGGGGCAACAAAATGAGACTCCTGACTATCTGGTCCAATGAATGCATTACTGTAACACAGTTGCAAACTACCTTGAAGGGCAGTTTTTCTTCTTAAAAACACTTAAAATTTTTTTTCACAATGTTCTATCTAAAACTTTGGAGGGTATGGTGATTCAGTGGCTACCTATTGCAATTACAACATTTCTGAACCTGTATTTTAAGATATATCTTTAAAATACCGAGTCTGAAGTTTAAAAGCAAACTTTAGTCGGGCATGGTCCATCAAACTACGTCCATGTCCATGTCCAACAAACTATGCATCAAGCATTGTGCTACATGGTAGAAAAATCAGAGACCACCACTACACGTACGTTTATGGGTTCTGGTCTCGAGGAGAATACAGACCAATCAGGCAATGGTAATCTGGCACGGCAAATACTGGAACGTGGGGGCAAATGGAAAACTTCAGTCTTAGCATTTCAGTGCGCACCTTCTGAAAAAACTGATGGCTAAATGGAAACCTACAAGGTAAGGAGCAACTAATTCAG